CGGCGAGCTATCACTTTTCGCGACGAATTACTATATATGGATCGAGAGCCTGGTCAACCTATGAATCGACACACCATTCATTCGCGCTGGAATCATACATAAATAGACAGGCTTTCGAGCTCGAAGAATTTCCGGGATGATCGTTCAAGCTCCGATGCTATCTTTAGGCTTCATTCCCGTCTCCTTGGAGTCGTATGCGATAATGTTAACTGCATTCCCATGTTAGCCACGATAAGATTCGCCGTGTTACCGTGTCAATATAGTAAATCCTCGATGAATGCTCGAAGGCTCTTCGGAACTAGCAAGAAGAAATCCCCAGATGTAACATGACTTTTTAATTCTGTTTAGCACGGTGATAGAGCCTGGAATTCTGATATTTGTTTCAGCCGCATATGGAAATTAGTTTACGAAATATTTAATGTTCAGTGCCGAGTAGCGTTCGAACACTCATCGAAGACTTACTGCACCAGGTATATAACCTGCTCGTATGTCTCTGTGTTCGTTCGAGATAGGTTACAATGGATCGGAGTAATGAGTTTTGATACGTATCGTTTCGCAAGTGACACATTTGTAACTCGAGTTTTCGTCGGTGTTTTCGTATTCAATGTACGTGGATGCGTACAAGACACGTATGCAGTTGCATCCGACGTGCCGCAGACAATGACAGTGCGTAGGAAGGTGAACCGGAGCCACGCACTAGCTGACCACTATTGTACAACACAGCCGAGAAAATGAACAGAAAGGGGGTGGGGGTAGAGAGAGAGAGAAAGGAAGAGAAAACAGGGAAGAAGGAGAAATAAACGTGTGCACGCCCATACAATCGCCAAGCGTCGGTGCAGTTATTATGCGATGCGGGTGTATGCATCACCTGGCCGATGAACACGCATACAGTAGTGAGAGGCAGCAATTAAAAACAGTCTTTTCATTAACATATAACGTATCGTATAGAACACTGGGCATAATCGTTCTACCTGGTTCGGGAGTAGAACCACTGCGACGAGAAGGACGTTGACCTAAACCTAAACCCACCCACGAATTACGATGGCGAACACGGTCAGGCTCGTCCGGATAGGGGAACCAGAGACGGTTTTCCATTGAATGGAGGTGAAACGCGCCGATACGATCGTCTTTTGTCGTTGCGAAAGACGCAATGATGTGTCGGTGACATTTCAATCGTGACTACAAACGGACGAGTCACGTTTCCAGACGAGTTTTACGAAATTCTCGATAGCAAATGAAAGGAAATCTGGAATAATACGATTTTATCGAATTCGTCATTATATCGAACGTATAGTTTAATCTCGATAAAGAAGGACGCATATATATTGTCGTCGTCTGGTGGTTACGAGCGACGATTCTATGATATTCTTTTCCACACATTGGCATCGTGTCGATTGTTCATTCTGGTAAAATCGTTCACAGCCAGCACGAGACGTCAGTGAAACGGGGTACGGTTCATCGTGCCTGAACGATAACGCTTGTCAAACTTCTGTAATTGTCTCGAATCGTTTTCGAACTATAGCTATGCCAGATGCGATTCCAACTTTCCCCGAACATTCTGCGGACAGACATTGACTTCGTGACTTCGAACGTTACACCAAGGTGCGCGATGTGTAGATATAATAATTTTCACTGAATCGTTTAAAATCTTCTAAATTGTTTAATCCAGTACGGTCTTCTATAGTCGCCTGGAAGTTTCTAGCGCGAGAAATTCAACGGAAAATGAAAACGAAAAATAACTTTTAAAATTCACGGGGAAAGTTCGCGTAACGAGAAACACAGGCATAGGGGTGAGTGAAACCGGTTGGCCGCTCGTTAACAACATCTACGAATACGATGAATCTTTTTATCTGGTGCAATCAGATCGTACGAGAAAAGGAGGCAACTTTATCTCCATGGTTCCATGACAGTAGAAATTTTAGTGTACTTTCTTTTCTAAATACGGTTGACTATTCTTATAACTGTATCTCCCTCTGGGCTCGTTCACGTTAAACTGCTTACCTCGGCATTTTCGAGTCCTCGTTGGACAACGATATAAATATTTATAGTTACGTTGCATAACGATATTATGTTATCGATAGTCCGTCACAGTTCGAAAACATGCGTGAAAACGAAAGACAAGGAAAACTGTTTTTACGCAGAAAAGGTAGTAGCGGCGGAGTCGCCGTATTTTGTTCGCTCTTGTTGATAAGAAAAAATCGTTAGAGCGTACACGACGACTCGCGTTGGTGTTAGATATAACCTGGCTATCGATGTGGACTTGAACAAAGGCAACAGCTCCGCTTGGGAAATAATCAATAAGAAGAAATGTTGGTGGTGTACGTGTGTATGCACTGTAATGTAAATGCTGTTCCAGCACTCCTTTCAAAATACCTACGTACATACTCGAAAGTCTGTCTCTTTTATTTCACTTTTCCAATTAAACTTTCGATTCTCATTCTACACGAGGGGATATACGTACATTGGCATAACTAGAATTTTTTTCTAGGGATGGGGGGCCCCTGACTTTCGCTCATAACACTGCCCATCAGGCATCTGTACGTAATTTAATTGATTACCTTTCAATTGATTATATTGTATTTCAATTGATAGTATTGTATTTTTTGCACTTAGTTACATTGCGTATTGCATTTCGGACCATGTATTTATTTTTTATAACATAAGATTTTGCCAACTGCCGAATGTTTTTTTTTATATATTTCCATAACTTCTGGACGGGGGGCCCAGACCCACCCGGCCCCATACTTAGTTACGCCAATGTATACGTACGCGGAAAAATGGCGATCGACCAGATTTCGAGGGAACCGCAAAAATCTACGATCCTTAATTCCCACAGAATGCCTTGCCCCGTGAATCGTTGTGCATTTATGAAAATCTAAAGAGAAGACAACGCCGTGATTATTACAACCGTATACCGTTAAGGGATCTACATCGGGCAGTACCGTTGACCCGAAGCCTCGTGGTTCCCGTAATACCACTGACCCAAAAACAACTCTCATTGTTCGCGAACCAAGCCAATTACATGTTCCGTGGTTGTATTTAAATACAAACGCGGAATATTAACAATACCTGCTGTCACGAGACGATATAATTTTCGGACAAACAAACAGGCAGGTGGTAGTTCTTTACGGTTGCTACGGGGCCTCCGTCAAGGATCGACGAAGCAGCGTGGGCGTAGAACGTCGAGAATTTTGATAGACCGAGGACGGTCACGGTCCGCGGGACAAACGTTTCTTTGAACTTTCTCGATTCTCGGGAATCGCCACCACCGTCGGTTAATCGGTGAATTACTCCACGACGGCATTTGGGATCGCCGTCCGGTGGTGTTCGTCAACAGAGAAACCGTTTTCGTTCGCTCCGACAGACCGGCTAGAGAATGACACGCGAAACGTTACTTAATTCCGCTGGTTCGACAGACAACACGCACGCTCGAACCATCGAATTACAAAAGAAAGCCAGTCCCGTTCGCGTTCGATCACCGCGGCGGGGCTTTCAACGCGTGAAACTTCACGAGAGTCGCGTCGACCAACTTTGTTCGCACGAATTTATCGATCTTTTGTTGAAAAATTAATAAGGCATCAAGACAAGTGTGTATCGAGGTTGCGTAACGTGGAGCTGCTTCCTCGAGTTGGAAAATATAGTTCGAAGCAGTTCACTCAGGCTCGCGCCTAGTGGAAGAATTTCCAGGAAATGACTCGAGGAGAAGACTGATCGTTATATAGAGTTGGAATTCGGAACGATTTACGCGATTCGCCGCGTGAAATTTTCTCACGTCGGGTGTACAGGCTGTATACGGAACTTGTTCCGACTTCTCCGTCGGGGGAGATGTTGCTCCACGACGCTAGATCGTGGATTGCGCAACAGGTTACACGGTTCATCGACGGCGAAACAATCTCCGAGCGATCGGGATCATCGACCCTTACGGGCACGACGACGATCAAATCGCACGCAACGTCGTCTACTCCGTTTCTCAAGAACGATCGACGAAAACGATTACGCTTTCGCGGTAAAAGCTATTCTTACGCGAACCGTACGCTTCTCGGCGGTAAATACGAACGTTAAGGTCCAAGCTATTTGATAATTGACACTAGCGTGAAAGGAGACATTCTCTGTATTCGATGGTGCAACGATCAACCTACCAATGTATCGATCAATTTATACGGGATACGCGTACGACGGAAAATTATTAATTAACGTACACGAAGAAAACTGTACTCGGTTCGATTGTCAGGCAGGCACGGGCGTCGTAACACGTTGCGTCAAACCCCGCGTGAATTCGTGGCGGAAATGTAAAGCGCGCATACACAACCAGTACCACGGACTAGCAAAAGTTGTTGCAATTCCCGTCGTCAATTATTCTTAACGTGCGCGCTTCTATGTCTCGGGTCCATATTTTCGTGCATAGACGTTGACTGTATATTAATTTAATAATTAAAAGAATCAAGGACGTTCTTTTTGTTGTGCCCGCAAACCATTAACAACGCTACTGCTGTATGTATTATCTGTTTTGATTCTCTTGAGTTAATCAAATCTCAATCGGATCAACGATCTATTGAAGAAAGAATAACAGGAGATCACGCAATTGCCCCGAGTACGTACGTTAGTAGAACAATCCCTTGTGGAAGTAATTAATTGGATTAATTTCCTAACACCTTGCCCACGAAGTGTATCGACGGTTTGCGTAAGAGGGATTCAAAGCGCAAGCAGTGTCAAGCTTGGACGAGCAACCGGCAGCAGCTAACTCGTTAAGCCGATTCTTGTTTCCGGTGAGTGTGGTAACAGAATTGGACGAAAGATGATCAACCCGCGACTTCGCGATATTTCACCGGCGATCTAATTGCATTCGGCAACCATGCCTGGGAAGTCATTAAGGAAACGAAGGATGCTGGGATAAATATTTCCATAAACTGTAAAGTCAGTGGCCCCTCGATTTGTCGGACAAGTTCGAGACTGTATACACGAACGAGAGTGAAAATGGACATTGATGTCGGGGGACTTACCGTCTGGAAGCGATACGCTGCGGACTAGTCACCGTGCTGGAAGTTGGACTCGTGGGAGCACCGTCAAAAGAGCTTGAACACGTTGTCGTGCTCGATGTGGTGGTATCGCTGCCGCTGGTCCCGGACAGAACGCTGCTTTGCCTGGATGACACCTCGCGGTTTCCGCTGGCCTGCGATCGACTTCCCCTGAACTGTCTACCACCCCTGCGCGGTGGCACCACGCTCGAACTGTTCACATTACGGACCGGAGCACTCGATGGTCTGAGGAGGGTCCCAGAAGTGCCGTTTGTCTGCGCGGCCAGCACCTCCGGTGCGATCAACGCGATATCCGGTAAAGAGTTCGGCGCGGACGCGACACCGCCACGACGATTGTTCGATGAATCGCAGCTATGTTGCCGCTCGTTGCCCTCCGGTAATCTCAAATGCCGCAGACGTCTCATAGAGGCTCTCACCCAAGAATTAACGAGCGTGGCAGCGGCATTGTCGCGTGTCTCACGAGCAACGGTCTCGTTGCTCCCGTTGCAACGCACCGCCTCATCGTGATCGTGATCGTTCTCCGCGTCGCGATCGGACAGTTGGTCGTCGGACCATCGCGAACCACCGACCACCAGGGACTTTGCCGTCCCGGACACGGACATCGCGGCACTGCAGCCCGCATCGGTTGCACGATGCTCGCAGCCGCGCCTGCGCCTTGCATTATCCCTGGTGGGGGATGCACTCCCCCCTCGATCTTGTTCTGTGTTCTCCTGAACCGTGTCAACCACAACGGGTGTTAACGATGCTTCCGCAGCCCGTGGACACTCCACTTCCTCCAGCCACGACCAGTCTACTTCCGAGCACTCGGAACACCCATCCTCCGGATTCGTATCCAATCCTTCCTCTCTCGAGAACCTGTAAACAACCGCTTTACTTTAACACGCCGCTCACTCAATCTCTTATATGTATATCCAAGACGCACACTTCGATTCGGAAGTTTCGTCTCTTCCATCCTCAATGTTTCTACCGATACTACTGTTCAACTGAACTCGAGGTAACTTCCTCTTCAACTACGTGCCTTATGACCTACGCGTGACCAGAAGAAATCGTGTCCCAAATAACAGAACTGTACGACGAAAATAGCTGCGCGACGAAAAGTCTAAAAGAGAATCCTTTGTTTCTCAGCCGTAGCTGCACGTGCTACTTCGGAGATCCACTCGACGCCCCAGTCGACTTGTATACACGTATCCACGCTTCTCGCGTACTCGGCTCTCGTGCCACTACTTCCGGTTTGCGGCTTTCGTCGCGCAACAAATACCCTCGCGAGATTCGATGCGAGACCGCGCGTTCAAAACCCTCATCGCCGTTCCGATCGAGCCTCGTGGGTGCCACCGCCTAGCACCTTATATCCGCCTGTCAGCCATCCAATCCGGTCGTGCCACCGAAATAACTTTTACTAAAGTGAGAAAGCGTCACTGTCTAAAAGATATCCTCCATTTAAAAGATATCGAAAGTGCAGTTAACCCTTAACCTTCGTTCCCATTAATAAAAGCGTGATTGAATTCACTCCTTTTACCCTTTCTATTAGCATGTGTTTGTACGTGTGTTATCGTAGTGTCTGCCCACCATATTTCCGATAACCACGACGTTTACGTTGATAGTGCCTGCTGGACACGACTTCTCGAATAAAAACACGAATCTTCGCGACTATTCCAGACGAATAAACGAGCGATAAAGTACCTACTGAAAACACTCCTGTCGCGGTAACACGATTTCTAAAACGACGAAAGAGGTCGAGCTCTTTCTACGACTCCTCCGATTCGTTTTTACAAGGAAACACTAATAACGGACGGTAAACCGTGGAACAATGGAAAAAAAAGTTTCGTCACAATGAGCGCGCGTAACTACGATCTTTACTGTATAGTTATAGAAATGCGTATTGCGTTCAACATCAGGCAGCTCTCGTTTTGTTACGAATCTTCCGCGAAAGCACTGTGTACTCACTCGAAAGTATTGTGCAACTTGTATACGCTTTATCCGCTGCCCCAAAAAATTGGAATACAAACTTAAGCGACTCGTTAAACGGCATATAAGATCGCTTGCCTGTTTCACTCACTTGTGTCTCCAACGTTTGTTACCTTCTAATGCATTTCCATAGCGCAAATCATTTCCGCAGGCTTCACAACTATTTATAGAAAAGTCATTTTTACTACAGTTATAATTACTATGTGCTCAAACTATTTTACGCTTTTTTTTAAACGAAGTATCTTACAGAAAAAGCGTGTAAACAATGAATTGGTGGAAACGGGACAAGCGTAACGGTGACACTATGACAATTTCGTACCTGGAAATATAACCGGATTGTCTATGAGCAGCATCAGATGTCGACGACTCGCTATTATACTCTCCCAGACTAATAGACCTATCGAATCGTGGAAAGGTGCCTTTGGGGTCAATTATAAAGCTGGTTCCTTCGGTCCAGGATTTACGGTGCACGCGTTGAAAGGATGCTCTTTCGATCGTTCGACCAAACGTCTCGTCCTCGCAACGTTTCTCAATGACAGCGGTGTTGCTCCCTGCTTCGAGTTCACGATCAATGGAAGAACACCTAATCTTCCTCGAGGTATTATCGCACAGCTTGTTCACATTTGACGATAACTCGAACGCCAGATTATCAGAGTCCTCAGTGTCCTCTCGAGGAAAACAACTGTCTGGACCTTTCCAACGTAACATTCTCGAGGAATCATAGCGATAATTTATCAGATCTTCGTTTTTAGGGGACGTCGATATCAGCTGAGGATCCTCAAGTGGGTCAGGTCGGTCATAAGCTGTTTCAAACTGATCCTCGATGTCCTCGTGTTCCGTGAGGAAATTGAAAGCATTGTTGATTTCCTGTGCCTCGAACGTTTCGTCCTCGTGCCTCTCGGAGGAGCGACAACCGTCCTCGTGATTCGACGCGATTCCATGATCGACCGTGTCCTGATGCTCCTCGTTAATATCGGAGCAAGTCTTCCTTATAACTGGTTCCAAGTTCCTGGTGATGTCGCGCACCCTTTTTATCGTGTCGGACGAAACGACGTCGATCCTCTTGCGAATCGGTACCACCTGATCGTGACCCAAAGTGACCAGTACGTCGCTGGTGTCGTTCACACTCTGCACTTGTTCCTGCTTTCTGGTCAACGAAAGCGTCTCTTCCAATTTCGGCGGGCACACGTCGAGAAGATGCTCCTGTTCATCGGGTAACGATTCGGAAACCGGAGCCCGTGGCACGCACACCTCGTTCCCGAGATCGATCAAATCGCCGTCCTCGTTCGACGTCATTTTTCGCTGATTACCTCCTGAAACAAGAAAATTCAATTCTATTGTGGATAAACAATCGATACATAGTCTTATTTTGTCTGTTTTGCATTCGAATAAACCACTCGTTCTTAACTAGTTCTGATCGAACGACTGCGATAGACCTCTACGCTCTTCTCACGGATTAAGTAGGCTGACTGTTTTTCATTTTAACCGTTTGAACCTATCCTAGATTTGCCTGACCCGAGGTATCAGACGTAATGTCTTCATCGTGTTCCAATGCGGTTAAAATCATTTCAGCGGCAGCGCGACGAATCGTTGCAAAAATCCACGAATTTAACCGAAACGCAACTCACCGTTTGCGAAGTATCGAAGAATGTTACGAAAAGTCCATCCAGGTGTCATGCTCCACTTAATTACCGACTCGAAACGGAACCAAGTGTGTTAAAGATTACCGTTTAAAGCGATGCAAACGAATAAAGTGCTAGACCGTCGCAGAAAATCAGCTAGAGCTTCGATGACGGTGTCATATTATTAGACGTTATTAACGAAGCGATGCTAAAGACAATTCTCGAGGTTCGATCGTTTGGGATAAACATAAACGCATCCGAAAGATCTATCGTTTGCCAGGGAAGACGCAACCGTGACAAAAACAATATTTAAACGTGATATCGTTCCGTCTCAAAATATGCAGTTAATGATAATAACTATCCTACTAACGATAATTGTCCTGGAATAATCCGACCATAAAAATTAGCCAGGATTTATTAAGCTTAATTGATTCGACTACATTCGAAATTATTGGCTTTGAGTAAAAAAATGAACCAACGGTACATTTGCTCGGAGTCGTTCGGAAAAAGTCGTCTACCGACAGTAACATACGCGACCTTTCCTGCTTATTGTCCCGGTGGTCAATGGAATTAGCTGTACTAGGCGCGAGACTCACAGTTCGTTGAACTTTTAATCCTATCCTATCGAAGAAAGAATTTCAGTAGGTTAAAAAGTGGACACAATACCTTTGAGCATGTGCAAACGGAGATGAATGAAAACACGTGGCGAGCTATGTGCATGCAAATAGAAGAACGCAACTCGTTACGAATCGAAATGTTCATTCTGTTTTCGATGATTCCAAACTGGAATTTATGCAAAGCACAAGTTTTGTTTCTTGTTAATTCACCCGATAATGCGCTCGGAACAAGCGTGTTTTATACGATCCTGAAAAATATGGACCGTGTTTTACCAAAATATACGGAGTATATGACTCATTCGTTAATTAATTCATTTGCTTCGCCACTTACGAGTAGAGGAATGATATTTCTGAATCGTTGTCCTCCTGAACGGTATGCCCTCTATTTTGCAGTTTGGCTGAGAGATACTGTACACGAAAGAAAAAGGTGTCGAAACGACGACGACATCGACGTGGAAATAACGCAGAAAGGGGCAGCAGGGAAACTTTTCGGGGATCCATCGAAAATCCTCAAAGCATACTGGAATCGAACGACTGTCACGGTCGATACTTCGGGACAAGTCCGTTGCCAGCACACTTGTCCAGGTAACAGGTAACCAGTAACCGGACCTCCTCAGCTGGCAACGGCTCTACATAGCTCATTCGTGAATCACGAACCAGGACAACGCCTCGAAAATATTCCTTTGGGGTTTTTTAACTGACCGACAACCTATAATAAGCAGCACGCTTCAAAGTACCAACTGTATATGTATACAGCCCAAAACTGACTGATTTCCATAGAACCTGTCTGTTGACCGTCTTCGTAGTTACACACCAATTCATTCTTTATGTACTATAAGAACAAAATTCCCGTTCAATATTTTTCAGAATTTTTTTGTGAATTCGTAAACGTCGCATAAAATAAGGGTACCAACGGAGACTCACAGAAAATCGAAGAAATGACTTCTTATGGTAAATACCGAAATACCGTAATGGTGTAGTACGCGTATGATTAATGCATATGCACCAGTTAATCAAAATGCGCCCTTTTCTTTCAAGTTCCTAGCGTACTCGTTCTCTTATGTTTATCTTATCTGCTTTTTAACATGCCATATTTGCCTCTTTCCGGCGAGACATCAAAGCAATCACAGTAAATTCTTCGTCTACGGCTTCTATTTCGTTCATCTTAAAAGAAAAAAAGAAAAAAAGCGACGCAGCATAGTCATTTCTGATATCACAAGCAATACGCAATGTCCATCGATACGCATTCGAAGGCCAACTAGTCCTACATATTCGTAGCAGTGATCATTCGTAATCTCACTCATTTTTCCGACCGAGTTCTAGCCACCCTAATGCGTGGGACTTAAAAAAAACAAATATACATTTATACGTACCCTTCTTTCTTCGGAATTTTTAAAAAATACGTCCAGAAAACGGGAGTCCCGCGCTACCAGCAGATCCGATGGCGCAAAGTTGAACGTCACGAGTAATCAAAGATGTCATTTCTTTGCACAATTTCTCCTCGAAAACACGGAAACACCGGCACAGCTCCAATTAACAGATTTAAAATATTGTTATTCCACTCATGATCGATCGAGTTAGTCGCATGGATAATAAAGATCATATGCCTCTTATTTTTCACTTACGTCATTCTAATGTACTAAAAGAATATGTACACTTATACTATAAATACGATCGAAAGACTCGACGCGACGATCAACGTTCCACGAAATGTAACGGCTCTCTAAAATTCGTGAACCGATCGAGACCGAGCATAACGCCATCTAAAAATATTGCGAGCTTACTCAGCCAGAAGCGCGCCTATCAAAACACAAGAGTTTGATCCTGCTCGATTCCGTGCTTCTTTTCGACACATACAAACTGTAGATAAACGAAGTGGAGATTCTTTCCATCCGATATTGTAAAGCGGTGATTTAAACTACTTCGGAAGAACTCTCGTAATTCGGATTACCGATTGACAAATAAAACCCTCTCATTCTTCGACTGCAACGTAGAATCTCTTTCTTCCAAAGTATCTTAGTGATCCATCGATCGTCGCATCGACTTCCACTGAACCTCTTATTTCATCGATAACGATTGCTCCGTTTCGATTACGATACTCAAAAAATTTGCCTGAAAATTATCGCGATTCTCTGCAAATCAGTTTGGGGTTTTTTGGGGTTCCACTTTGCATTCGAATGTTCTGTTATTTTTGGCACTGGTTAGTGTGGTTGCTCGAAACATCCGACAGGGCACTCGCGAATAACTTCGATGGCACTGTCGTAGCGGCAGACCAGCTAGCGGCACCCGTTTTCCCATTTACATGATTTTAAAGAGCACTTGTTCGTTTTTCTTCAGGTTCATTCGACACTTTTGTGCTTTTGCCTGGGAACTTGAACGAACCGATCGCTATACTGCGCCACGTAGATGATATGAAACAAGTAGATGTACTTCACGGTATCCGAGTGAGGCATGCACTGAGAAAGAACGAACGTCGGAAAGGAGAGTCCAATGCGTGCATTCACCAATTCACTGGCAATCTTCGGTGTATATCTGTGTATGTGTGTGCCTGCTTGCTTGCTTGCTTGCTGCCTGTCTCTGCTCTGCTGTGCCTGCTTGCCTGCCTACTCGCCTGCTCGCTTACCCATTGGAAGGAGAGTATGCATAGACCCAATGGCGGAGGGAAAGGGAACCAAAAGGAAAGAGGCAGAGAGAAAAGAAAGGGTGAAAAAGAATAGGTAACTCGAAGAGAGAACAAGTACAGGCGAAAGCGGACGCGCGAACCGCAAGATCTATCCACCGATACTCGTGAATATAAAATGCAATAAAACCTTTCAATTGTTATCTATCGGAACTAATACTATCACGAAAACATCGTATCATTTCTATTAATTTACTACAGTGCATTTCTTCCTGACCCATTTGATCGATGTATACACATAAATTTTATTTTTCTTCTTACTTATTAATATACAATAGAAACATGCAGACTTTTTATATTACCGATTATCATATTGCGTAATGTGTGCGTTTAATAGAAAATGATTCTTTAAAATATAATATAATTGACAATATTTTTTATATATAAACATGTATACGAACATTGATGAAACAGTGGATTTTTTAGATTTACCAAGACTCGGATTACTTAAATTTGATAATTGTAATGTTATCTGGAGTTATTAATTCACGAAGTCAGATCTTTCAATCTTCTTTTCAACAGTTCCGAATTTAGACGATGCTTGCAAAGAAACTGATCCTCCAAAAAAAGTACTGGAATTTCGTATTTGTACAGCTTAAAAAATCGTTCATTTCCTGGTGCTGTAATATCAACTTCTTGCAACTGATAACCAGAAAAATTTTTTCGTAATTCGTCTTTTAGAACATCGCAAAGTGGACACGGATTTTTCGTGTACAGTGTTAATGTTGGTAGAGAAGATATCGGATGACACCTACAGAATGAAAAAGGAAAACTTTTATTCATTCAAACAAACTTCTTACTTTTTATAAGACGATTTATTTTTTCTAAGAATGCAGCATAAGAAACAGTCTTTAATAATATACTAGAACGTAAATTACATTTATTTGTACATGATTAAAAAAATAGATACGTTTTCATAAATGATATTGTATAAAAATATTTCTTAATAACCAGAAGCTAATATCAGTTGACCCATCACTCATAGTCAATATGTTACATAATTATGCTTAAAAATGCACAATGGTAATTGTTGTTAATTTAAATGTATGGCAAAACGCGTTCATTGTCATACAAAATTCATTACTGTTATTATAGTCATCTGAAGTACCACTTTGTATCAGAAATCTGTCTTGCCGAAGACTTACAATTTTTCAATTAAAATTGAAGATGCACCACCACCTCCATTACAAATCGATGCAACACCCTTTTCTCCAGGTTTCAGAGCATGTACTAAGTGCACCACAATACGAGCTCCAGACATACTAAAAATTTGAAACTATGTACATTTTATGGTATTTATAATTGAACTGAAATTAAAAATATACACACCCAATAGGATGACCCAAAGATACGGCACCACCGTGAACATTCACCTTACTAGGATCAAGGTCAAGTAATTTTTGAGTTGCAATTGCAACAACACTGAATGCTTCGTTAATCTCCCAAAGAGCTATATCGTTTTTGCTAACCCCTGCATTTTCTAATAACTGAAAATGAATACACAGTTCGTTATCAAAAGTTTATGGAATACTGCAAAATTATGCACATTATAAGAAACTTGCTTTTGGAATTGAAAATGATGGTGCAATGGGAAAATCAATAGGATCAGTTGCAGCATCATGAAATGCAATAACTTTTGCTAATGGCTTGAGATTCATTGTTTGAGCAACACTTGTAGTAGTTAATACTAATGCAGCTGCTCCATCATTAAGAGTAGATGCATTTCCAGCAGTTACAGTGCCATGTTCTTTCTATTGTAAATAAACAAAAATCACTGTACAAAAACTAAACCATGAATATACATTTGGACATTAATCGATTTCAAGTTATACCTGAAAAACTGTATTCAATTTGGCAAACTTAGCAAAATCCACCCTCTTGTATTCTTCATCCTCATTAAATACAACATCAGGTTTTCCTTTTTTTTGTGGTACATTAATTGGAACAAGTTCGTCTTGAAATATTTTGTTTGCATATGCAGTTGCACTACGTTTATAACTGTTGACAGCATACTCATCTTGCTCTGCACGAGTAATACTCAGTTTTTTGGCAGTATTTTCTGCACAATTTCCCATGTGAAATTTATTGTATACATCAGTTAGACCATCAAATACAATACCATCCTATTGAAATATAATAGGGACAAAGTTGAAAATACAGATAATAAATCGTTAAAATTATATATTTACCACACCTCAAGTTTCATGCCACCATATTTAGTTTCTCCTCGTGCTAGGTACAATGGTACATTGGACATTGATTCCATCCCACCAGCAAGAACAATCTCCTGATATCCACATTGTAATGACTGAGAAGCAAGCATAATACTTTTCATACCACTTGCACAAACTTTGTTAATTGTTGTACATATTGTGGATTTAGGAAGTCCTGTTATCACAATGTTCATATTATACATGTTAATAGCAGTGTCAACAGGAAATCAATCAAATATTATCTTAAAAATAAAACCTGCAAACAATGTAGCTTGTCTTGCTGGTGCTTGACCCAAAAAAGCTTGACAAACATTTCCCATATATACTTCTGTAACTTGTTCTTCGGACACTTTGGCACGTTCAATTGCTGCCTAATAGACCGACAATTATGATTTGTACTTGTTGTAACTGCTCATTAATGTATTAAAGAGTAGTTTAATATCTACCTGTATAGCAACAGCTCCAAGTTTTGGTGCAGGTATAGTTGATAATCCCCCAAGAAATGATCCCATAGGTGTTCTAGTTGCACTAATTATAACTACATCGTTTAATTTTACCTTAGAGCTATATGATCGCGAGTAAATAATTCGAACCTACAAAAAAGATATAATACACTGTAATAACAAAGTTTTCAATAAAATAAAATTCTATATATATAAAATAAGTAACCCCATCAAAATGGGATAGATGTAATCAATATTGTGCACAAATCAGTTAATACTGCTATATAATACGCTTTAGATTGATAATCTTTTTTTTCTTTAACTGATTCCTTTGATCACTCATAAACAATTGAGCGTGGAATGACTTACTTTCTCCATGTTCCTTAATATTACCATTGTAGAAGAGAGTTCAATAGCAGCTGTTGCCATTACTATTTAAGAATAAAGTATATATAAAAACTGATTAAGACAGAATGAAACTATCTTGGTGTTTAGTTCTCCTTGTATGTTTCGTAAATATTAACTTTGTAGATAACTTGGTATTTTGATTAACTTTCATTTATCAAAGTGTCAAAACCGTTCCATTCGATCTTAAGTCCATGGTTTTTTTCCACTCATTACACCCAAAGAATCACACATAAAATCTTCATCTATTTGATTTTTATAAGTTCTAATTAATGTTTTTCCTCTTCATTAACTGCTCTTTCAACATGAACTATTGTTTGCATTCCTAATAAATTTTTTAATCATTTTAAAAAGCTGAAAGAAGACATAAGCGCCTTGAAAAAAGACGTTCCTGATATATTGCGCACGCGCAAACACACGCAAGAATACACACGATTTTTGGTTTTATTTCTGCTACAAATGCGCAGTGTTTTTAAGCTGTTTTAAGCAGATAAGATCGTCGTTTATTAATTGTGTGTAGCGCTAAAACATAATTATGCATCGTGTACAGAATGCAAAAATCTTACATATTATATTATAAATTAAAGATATCAGTTAAAAAAATTTAGGTGATCATTTTTATCATCGAACGAAATAAACAATAGTAAATTGAAATTCTAACATGAACGTTGAAGAAAATAGGTTACAGACGTTTGAGGATTGGCCAGCAAATGCCCCCATCGACGCTACACGATTAGCAAAAGCAGGATTTTATTATAGTGGGCACAGTCTAAAGGTGCAATGTTTTTTATGTGGAGTACAAATTTCCGATTGGAATTATAATGATCGAGCTATTGTTCGTCATCGCGAAGCCGCACCCGATTGTCCCTTTATCCGAAACCCATTTAATACTTGCAATATTCCATTGGTACCAACTTCAACAACAACTGAGATAGGGTCAGTAAGTGATGCTGTTGAACGTCAATTTATATCTTCCTTTATCCAAACAAAAAATGTTGGAAAAGAATATAAAATGGTTTTCCAAAGGTTAGACACCTTTGCTAACTGGCCAATTCCTTCTATTGTATCACCTGAAAAGCTTGCTGAAGCTGGTTTTTATTATCTTCAACATGAAGATAGGGTAATGAATTTAATATGATTGATACATTAAGAGGCATTTAATAAGATATTAAAATAAGACATTCATCTCTTTAATTTATAGGTACAATGTGTATATTGTAAGGGTATTGTAAAGAAATGGGAATCTGGTGATGATCCAGATAAAGAGCACAGAAAACATTTTCCTAAATGTGATTTCTATTTACATAAAGATACAGGTGGTATTTATTCCTGTTACTATAAAAAGAATATTCTTTTGATTTCAAACAATTTTTTTATTATAGCTCTTTTCTTTAATAGATTTAAATACTGTGAAATTAATGCCTGGTTCAACATCAAGCCTTACAGAATTAGGAATTCAAGAACATATAGCTCCAAAACACCCAAATCATGCAACATATGAAGGACGTTTGCGTACTTTCTATGGTTGGCCCGAAAGTTTGAAACAAACTCCAGAAATATTAGCTAGTGCAGGATTTTATTACACAGGTAAAAGTTACATCCAATTTTAGCATTTATTTTAACATTTAATTTTCATGTGGTACCTTTAAACATGAGATCATTAAAATTCCAATAGGATTAAGAGATCTAGTTAGATGCTTTCATTGTGATGGTGCTTTACGAGATTGGGAAACAACAGATGATGTGTGGACTGAACATGCAAGATGGTTTTCTAAATGTGAATTTGTAAATCTCATAAGAGGCCAAAAATTCATTCAGGAATGCATCGATAATAGGCCACCACTACTTCCATCTGTAAGTATTGTATAATTGTAGTGATTTTATATATAAACAACTTTAAATTATATTCTATTATTATACAGATTTTTGAAGGTGTACCAGAAGATGAAAGTTCAGATCTCACTGAAATATCCTCTACTTCACTGTGCACAGTTCCACCATCTACACAAGAAGTTACAGAAACAGCTGAAGAAGCAGAAGAAATTGGAACTGAACATGTAAACCTCAATCAAGTAGTAGAAGGCAATTCTCATGCACATACAGAAGAACGTGCAGAAAATGATACAGAAGAACATACAAGAGATGATACTATGTTCGTCGATACATTGTACGTGAGTGGTGCAACAGACCAAAATGTTCCATTCATTATTTGAACACTGGCTTTGCGAGATTTTTGTACTTGAAAAGACGCATTATCACTTAAAAACAGACAATTCTATCAACACATTTCGCATTTAACATTCATTATTTGTCGGCCCGCGGTGACACGAGCGTTGAAATAACAGACGTTTTGATGTATATTGCAGCATAACATTGTAATACATACGAACAGTCACACGAGGTACGTTTATCAAATTTGACGTTCGACGTCCGTTCAATAGCGACTAACTATAACGAACCCTACGACGTTTCTCGCCTTTCTCACATTATTAATATAACAAACTTTTCTCAGTTACACTCGTGTGACTGCAGTCTAAACCTGCAACAGAACATTTCAGCCATTCCTAAACAATATAATAAGTACTGATATACTTTATTGTTGCACTTACAGACACGGTATCATTACGACATTATATAGTCGAATATGGAAGCAAAGAAATAACGATAATGAGATAACTAATACTCTGCAAGAAATAAATGCAGATAAGAATGAAATAATCTTGAGTCAAAAAGAAGAATTTAAAATATCTGATAAAAAAGATAATGCTTTTCAGGAGAAAGCAAACGTAAAAGTGGAAAAAAATGGTAAGTGATAGCAGTGAACCTCAAGTTAGATCTACTGATAACATTGATACGATATCAAGAATTAAACAGCTCCTTGGAAATTTATCTAATTAAGGTTTTATTTTGTGTAATTTTTCAGCATGTTTAGAAGAAGAAAACAGAAAATTAAAAGAAGCTCTTTTGTGTAAAATTTGTATGGATCGAGAAGTAGCTATTGTATTTTTACCATGTGGACACTTAGCAACTTGTGTTCACTGTGCTTCATCCCTTACGTATTGTCAAATGTGTCGGCAAAAAATTCAAGCTACGGTTCGCATATTTTTATCGTAAACTAAGTCCATGTACAAAATGTTAGTTAATAGACTATTATATTTATTTATTCAAATTTTATAATTTGAAATGTTGGAATGTATAATATGTGTAAACTTATTTCTTTGTACAGTTTTCAAAGTAATGATTATCGTTACTTAAATCATTTTTATTCGTAAAATAAAACAGTAAATGACATTTGAATATAATTGATAATGTTATCGAAGAAGTATATAAATTAAGATTATGAGATTGACATTGAGGGGGTGTATATAATTATAAGCACTGTTAATACATACTGAAGTAAAAAATTCTTTACACTTTTAACCAATTTCGTGATTTGTACAGATCTGCATTATTGTGGAATATTACAAATTTTTTCATATAAAAATACAGACGTATTTACAAAGGTATAAAGTTTATTGCTTGAAATAGGTATTGTTGTTTAATGCTAAGCAACATTTACCTTAAATTTCAATGACACTGCGTAATTTATAAGATTAATAAGAACAGAACTATAGAATACTGAAAATAAGATAGTGTTGAAGATAACCCCAGCTATGTGTCATCCTTAAGATATAACGTCATTGCAGCTTCTATCTATTGTTATTGTTGACCGTCACGAGAGTCCATAACTGCTATGGGACAAGTTTTCGTTCGTTCTGCGCAGGTTGTCTCTAATTGGCTGTATTTTCACGCCGCGTGCCCTCTACCGAAAAGTAAAACGCCAGCGAACCATTCAAAGCGTATATAACGGATGAGTAGCTTCTAAATCATTGACAACATGTAATCGTGAAATACTTTCTTATGCTATGCATTCATATTAGTGTTACACTGTGTATATGAACAGCGATGGCGCGGGTAGGCGATGCAGTGAATAGTACAGTGGAAGTGGTGGCGCTCGCGGCGATTTGGTATGCGCGAAACAGTTAGTTATGGATTGTCGTGACGGCAATATTTTAGTTGATTTTAGTTGTTTATAGGATTCCGTGTTGTTAACAGGGTTGTAGCCGGGTGGGATCTGGGTGTTATGTAGTGTTTCGCTCACGTAAAAAAAAAAAAAGTTTTGCAGACTAAAATTTTCGGAAGGTAAGCGTGAGTTAAATAAATTCAAACTACAGCAATTATTTTAACCGCAGTTACAATTTCATAACAAAAGAAATATATTATTGAATACTTATCTAATGTTGATGTGATATTATAAAATCATTATTAGTATAAAAAAGAATTACATTGTCATGTAATATTACTTCACATACAAGTAATAAAATATAAAAACCTTTTCTATTGTTAAATGAATTCTATTTATGCAAAACAATACAACGACATTGTATTCTTACAACTGACTCATTGTTAAAACACTGCATGACCTGGCAAGCGGTAATCTTATAAGTAGATCCATTCTAGGAATTGATTGCGTGTACTAAAATTGTTCAAAGATATACGAAATCAACTTACAGAGATAAATAATTAGAATTCCTTCGACGTAAAAATATTCTTTCGTATAAAACTTGATACGTGCCGAATTCCACGTGTCAACGATTGAATACATATATAGTTGATGAGTAAATGTATTTGAAACGTGCATTGATGTGTTTTTGCCATTCTATAACGTATTTTCCTTTCTTTTTTCCTTTTAAGTTGAGAAGTTTTGATGTTAAGCCATAATACAAACATAGAGGAAAAACGCAGGAAATCGTTTAAATAGATATATGTATATATATACATATGTTAAGTCACGACACGTACGTGAATGAAATATATTGATTTTATGAAATAGTATATTTTCTTATAAAACTCGAAAAATATAAAGATTTGTGTGAAATTTACGCATTAAACTACACGTATAGGTGAAAAAATGTGTATATATATATAAAGAGAGAGAAACGCAATTGTCGCTGCGTAAACTTTATGGCTTTGTCGGTCGAACTCGAGTGGGGACTCTTCCTCGAACGGCTCGAACTGGCACCGACGGAGAACGAGAGCCTAGTCGTAGCCATTGCTGTTGGTGTTATTTCGATCATCGTCATCAAAAACCAACGGTAGACCACTCTTCAAGACTACTCGCGTTTTCGTTTTAGTTCTCATCTCAAGTGTCATCGAAATGTTATTTTCTACAAGACTGTAGTTTCGTTCTAACAAATTGTGCGTGTTGTAACTTTATTCTTCAATTCTTTACCTCGATTATTAGTGAAAGGCAAACAGGGTGGTTCACTTTTAAAAAATATTCAACTAATAATCTGTTTAACGAACAAAATAAAGCTTCGTGGAAAGAAAATAATACAGTATTCACTAATTAACTGAAGAATTAATCACAAGAACAAAGTGCATGTGCCTTCAGGAGGACTTCACAGTTATTTTTAATATCGGTACGCTATGTTTATAATATATTTTACTAACTATGCGTGTTATGTACAGTATTTTATCTTGATGAAAAGAAAAATCAGTCTGAGAATTTTATCTGATGGAAAATAAGATTAAGCATAAAAGTTTTTTTGAGTGTGAACGATGATTTGTTTTACACGAGTTCAAGAAATTCCGGATTACGTAGAAATGGAAACATTTTAATTGACTTTTTCAATAATCTAACGATAAAAAATACTTAGGACAATAAACTTTTTCCTCGTCGTACAAAGAATTCATCAGTTTCATTTGTTACTCGCATACCAACTTCCGTTGTATGCTTGCTTCCTCCTCTTGACCACGATGTTGCCAAACCTAACGAATTACTCCGATGTGAAAGTTCTAAGAAAAACTGAAGATTTTATTTCACCGTTGACTTGTCACGAATACAACAAAAATATCTACAAAATATGTTGATTTCGTATATTTTGAAAATGTCTAGTACAGAGATGAATGTCGATCTTTTGCGTTTTCGATAAAAAACGCTTCATATCTTCATATAAAAACAGAGATTATAGTTTGTCAAATACGGAAAAATCGTAAATGCGCGTGTTGATGGAAGCATAACGTAGTATAAAAAGTACAAGATACGTTATTTCATTGAAGCATTACATTCGAATTAAATTTTCAAATTAATCATAGATCTACGCTTATCTTATCGTGTAGTATCGCGATAACTCCAGGATTCGTAGGTATGATTAATTTGTAGTTTCGTTTCACATGAATAGACGATTACAAAAGTATGTGCTCCGGAAGGGGGAAGAAAGGAATTCACTGTACATTTCCAGCGCAGACCCGTAACAAACCGGTTTAGCGCCCTGTGTGAACTGAGTTATCTCGATAGTATCAGAACGTACTTAGTAAAGTAGAAGTAAAGTGCTTGTACCTCAAATAGTGCAAAGGCAAAAAATATTTCAGCTGTTTGTGTACCTAAATTGAACAGACTTGTAATTATTATTACAATTTTAATTCTTTCTGAGATTCATAAAGTAAAGCTCTTAGTTGCTCAACCTTGTATAATTGTATAAATAATTTGAAAATAGTGATAAACTCACAAAATTGATTATGGTAAAATTGTAACGTTAAAAAGCGTAAACAGAAGTTGTTACGCCCTTGTCGATACATTTCATTCCCACAAGCTCGCAGTGGTGTAATGCAAGAAGAAAAATTAAAATACGGGCTATAGAACCGGCAACGTTGCACAGGACGGTAAACAGCGGACTCTGTAGTACAGCTGTCGTCGTTGTGTGCGCATCTATGTGTGCCTTCGAGAGAACCAAGGGAGAGCCGAGCCTGTTCTCGGAAGTTCTTGTTTGTGTGCGATATGTAGGCTGTGTTATTTCGACGTACGAAGTTGTGTGAAAAATCAACGATACTCCGTCATTCACGAATCATAACGGGTTGCTACCCATACTAGCAACTCCCACTTGCTGAAGTCTGCTATTCTCATCTTGCCTTTTAGTGCACGTATACCATAAATGTGTAGCAGCACAATCAGTCGTCCTTCGACACTGTTCTTCGTTTGATTTGTAGGTTCCATATGTCACCTAATTTCATCATAAATATATAGCGTAGAGTGAGGCAGCCATCTTCGTTTACATTATATAAATTAGATTAAGAATTGCCGACGATCCAAATAGCGTAGTTTGGCAAAGTAAATATAAGCTCAGAGTAGCACCTCAATAAAGTATAACAACGCAACGAATCGATACTAAGAACACTATAAGCTCAAAGTAGCATCTCAACAAATATACTTAATACTTAGTCATTTCCCGAGTAAAAGATGTTACGAGTTCGAATCCCGATCCACCAACTCAATTGGTCAATATTTCTCCTACGTAAAGAAGTAATTTTTAAATGAAATGATATTTTTTTTAAGTACACCATAAATCACCATTATCGGAATTCTAATGACAATAATTAAAATTGTCGTAAATGATAGTTTTTATAGATAATTTTATTACAATTGCTGGTCATTTGATTTATTTAATTAAATGTCCTTAACAGGTTTGATCTAGTTGGAGAGAACCTTCCCAAAATATTACTCATAACTATACTTAAACAAGATGACTGGTATTCTTAAGCGTCAAAGAGAGTTGGGAAGTGATTCAAATATCAAACCTTCAGCAAATCCACATTTAACATCACAGACACCTATAACACCTCTCGACCTAAGCGATGAAGTGGACAATGTTGATTATCGCTTTGAACTAGCTAGACTACAGAGTTTTGAAAACTGGCCTGTGTCATATATTGAACCTGCCAAACTTGCAGCTGCTGGATTTTATTATACTGGTGAAGGTGATAAAGTAAGATGTTTTGAATGCTATGTAGAAATATGCCAGTGGGTAGAAGGTGATAATCCTATGGTCGATCATCAACGCTGGTCGGCAAGATGTAGATTTATTCGTAAAATGAACTGTGGTAATGTCCCAATTGGAGCAGATCCTAGTACAGTTTTACCACCAAGGCCAAGAAGTAGAGATGTATGTGGACCTTATGGTGTTGAATATAGACCCACATCTGGTCCTGACAATATTAATTTTTCATCGGAATTACAATTGCCTAGTACAGCAAAACTGAGTTGTTTAGGCTTGGGAAAGCCAAAAGGACCAGTACATTCTGAATATGCCAGTTATGATGCTAGACTACATACGTTTGAAACATGGCCAAAATTTATGCCACAGACAAAAGAACAGTTAGCAGATGCTGGCTTTTATTATACTGGAAAAGGTGATCAAACTCTTTGTTATCATTGTGGAGGTGGTTTGAAAGATTGGGAACCTGAAGATGATCCTTGGGAGCAACACGCAAAATGGTTCTCTAAGTGCTATTATCTGCTGATGGTTAAGGGTCAAGATTATGTGAATAAAGTAACAGGTCAACATATATCCCCACCGTCAAAAGAAGTACGTATAAAAATTAAAAATTTTATATCCTCTGTATAAACACGAATTATATACTAATGTGTGTTCTATTTGTTTTTAGGAAACAATGCAAATGAATTTACCGAGTTTCATTAAGAAAGTTCAACCTGTATTAATGGAACCAGAGAAGAAGGAAGAAGCGGAAAGTAATCCTGGTCCAAGTTCTCAAAATATTGGTTCTCAGGATAGTGGGATAGAATGTGTTGGAAGTAATACAGAATCTGTAAAAAGCAGCACAGAAGATTTGTCAAATGCAAAGACACAAAATAATAAACCTATAGATGATGCAAGGATGTGCAAAATTTGTTACAACGGAGAATTAGGAGTGGTATTTTTACCGTGTGGACATATAGTTGCGTGTGTTAAATGTGCTCCTGGTATGACAACTTGTGCAGTATGCAGAGAACCTGTTACTATGACCGTACGAGCCTTCTTCTCATAGTATTCCATAGCTTGTGATAGGCAATGATTACATCCTACATCTGATTTCTTTTATAGTATTTTATACTCGATCATCCATGACTGGTAGCGATAATCTATCGCAAACTGCACTAAATGACATGACTCATGTAGCATACCGGTCTGCGGGTACAAGCTATAAGAATTCTACAATTTTTTAAGGCTTTGTATAATGTTTAAATCGTTGATACAGGAAAGATAGATAAAGAGAGATTTATTCTAATGCAACAAATAACACAATAAAATGTACGAGGTATAAAAATAATTCATTTAGGAATGTTATTTTGAAAATTAAACAGATGTGAGGCTGTTGCCTTCGAAGCAGTCCCTTTGAGACTATAAATTTTTTCGTCTTTAAAATTTCTTATTTTCAAGAGGGCTACTTTGAAGAGGATAGCCTCACATCTGTTTAATTTTTAAAATAAAGTTTTTAAATGAATTATTCTTGAAACTTTATTGTTACACCTAGTATTTCATGATTGTAACGAAGTTAAAGAATTTCCTTCGTGTTCGAAAATTTGTCCATGTATGATCAGTATTACAACAAACGACATAAATGTATTTAAGTATTCTTACAAATGCACAACATATCATGAGTAGAGGAGTCGTGAGATACTTGCTCATACTGGTTTTCGAAAAAAGTTTTCAGATTAATTTTGTCTGAAACGTAATAAGCTGTACCTGCAACTGAATGTTGCTATTTGCACATTCACAAATTTGTGTTATCCGCATCTTTGAACTAATCGGAAGGACAACAGAGTAAATGTGCTTGACACAAAAAAGTACAAATAGCAACATAACATGAAGTCTAGTCATTAATATTAAATAATGACGAAAATGAGTAGAGATTTAAAACTATAAATTATAGAAATCTAATGGAAAGAATGTTCATCTTTAAATTTATTGCAATACTAATAAAACTAATATTCACTTAGTTACCCTAGTTTAGTTTCGTCTAATATTATCGTGTATTTTATTTTCATGCATTTTACTACAACATCTCAAATGTGATCACTTTTGTAGTAAAATATCTTTGAGAATATTTAAGCAAAAGTAATTGTGAATATCTAAATCACAAGCTGCATACAAACATATAATTATTCGACTTAACTAATCTAGGGTGTTGTAATGTTCATATATTCCACACAATGGAGAACTTTAGCGCTTTTCTGATTTAAGAAAATTGGTGATATTACGAAACCGATGTGTATATATATTGTGTATACAATATGATTATAAGCAGGGAACAGTTATTCATTTTAATAAATAACAAATCAACAGAAAGGATAGGCACATTCAATTAATGACTAATAATGCTGGAAACTTTCTAGCCACCTGCTTTAGGCTATGATTAGCATGGTTGTACATTACATTAATGAAAAATGGAATACATTAATAACTGAATTCCTTCATTTGAACTTTACTTATACAGCACAAAGTATCCTAAATCAAATACAATACGTGTGATCCCAAATAAAGTAGGATGTATCCCATTACAATTTTGCCTATTTGCCAGTTATTGTATTTGCAAATGATTCAAACATTGCGTTAATTTATCTGTTAAAATGTCCAAATTATAAGGGGGGAATATAGTGTTCAACAAAAACGTATATTCATTATGTAATGACTACATCTGTAATCGTTACATCTATTTACACATAGCGAAATTTGAAATTACTGTTTTAAGCTCTATCAGTAAAATAAGCAGCTTAGTGGATTCAAAAGAACTTAGACGTTGTTTTTATAATGTAGTAAATTATTTCGTTGTTTAAGATCAGCATTACAAATAACGAGTACAAGGTCTTTATCAATATTTTGGAAATTTTTAATCCATGTTATTATTATGTACTTCTTTGAAAAATGAAGCGGAATATTAAATAGACAACACATTTCATTGTTTATTTCATGAAAATCATAGTCTTGTAGAATTATTAAATTTTATGTAATCTATCTTTTATTGCACTTGGAATCATTCGCACATTTCCATTATTAGCTCGTATTTATCATAATTTCCTGTATATTTTAAACACACACACACAGACTTGATTCTATTTTCAGTTGAGTTACTTTTACTACCAACTGACAAAAGTATATTAATATCTGTACATTTTGCGTATACTCATAATATGTGTACAACGTTAAAAATCTATTATGATCAAAATCGTAACATGTCGCGAAAACCACGATAGAATACAGAGGAATACAAATGAAAATATAATTTTTTTGTGATAATTACAATAAAAGATAATATGTATTTGCGATTATAGTTGCATAATCCCTTAAAAAGTACAAGCTTAGGTAAAGTAAAAGAAAAATCAGATTTTCATGAATAATTGTAATTTATGTTTTAAAATTTACACGAGATTATTAGTTACACAGGAATTTTTCTCGCTGTAAACATTGTAGCATACGATGCAAATTTTAGCTTTGATATTGCATCTTTTTTAAAACCGGAGCACCACAATTTTTGTTTCAAGCCTCAATAATCAAGTTCTCTATGACATTCTATACTTTCCGTTAATATTCAGTTCTTAATATCTGTTTTCGATTTCATATAGTTTTTTATTTGCAACGTAGAAGATATAAAATATGTAGTTTATTTCCTATTATTTATTTTATTGTAACATAAATATATAAACGCAGGATATAATGAAATCAAAAATGAGATGGGAACTTCGAATTTCATACATAGACCGTAAACGAAGTATAGGAGTAGACATTTCATTCAATGTATTTTTACGGCCCACTTTTCTGGGGTTACGTTACCCCATTTCCATTTTAGTGTCACTATCCACCGTAGATTTACCCAGATTTACCGTCCTCATAACGTAGAGGTTACTAAAATTACAGGTTTTTTAAGGTATCGATACTAAGTTTAGGTGGGCCACCAACTCCCATAAGATGAAAGGTCTATTCTTGTACATACCTCGTCGGTGCATAGACTGGATTTTCATATGTATTTTTGTTACGTGCCCACTGACAAAATACAGTAAAATGAAAAGTAGCAATTTTTTAAACAAATTTTCCTACTTTAAGTCCAATAGACCATTTCATAGAAGAAATACATTTAAATGTCCATAGTTTATACTTAATTTTTTATTGCAAAGGAATACATTTTTCCTTATAATTTACTAAAACAGATGTCGCTGACGTCAAATAGAATATTACGATGGCGATTGATTATTATACTATTAATGGCGATATGGCCACTGCAGACTGTTGGTTCGATACGATGATACAATAGCACGATTAAATGGATTAAACGTGCACAGTGTCAAAATCTGACATCAAGAAAAGTTTTAACTTAGTTTCTGTATTTTCTTTCTTCCATAAGTTATTATAATGAACGAGTATCAGTAATGGGAGACTTATTTGATATTGCGAATTTAATCACTACTGTTGGTGTTGATAGAATAAAAATTAAACCGGAACCCGGACTCCCAGAAAAATCATCGAATGAAATATTGACAGAATTGTTCAGCACGTTTGATGCTGAAGAAGAAGTAGCATCGCCAGAGAACACTGATCAACAAGTTCCAAATGCGAGTATCAAAGTTGATAAACTTAAGAAGTCACAGGTTAAGAAGAAAAAGACGAAAAAGAAACACAAGCATAAAGATAAAAAGCATAAAAAAAAATCAAAACACAATTCTTCTGAAAGTAATAGTGACCTAGAAAGTAATAGTAAGATATTATCAATTATAAATGTATATAGGTGTCTATTACTGCATATTTAAGCACAGTTATTTTCTTGTAATAAATAGGTACCAAGAAGAAGAAGAAGCATAAAAAGAAAACAAAACGTAAACATGAAAATGATTCAAACAAATCATCAGACTCTGATGAGCCAAAGAATAAGGTTTCAAAGTCAAATAGTTCCTGTGATGACATAAAAGGAAAAAATCATAATAAAGACAAAGACAATGAAGTAGAGAAAGAAGGTACAGTTGCAGTCACAAATTTTGAGGACACATTAACAATTAAAAAGGAACCAGGATTAAAGAATACTTTTATAAGCAGTCCTGAGAGTCCTCGATTACCACCAATTTCAAAAAAAATTCTAGAAGAAATTGAGGAGCCACTGATACCTAAACTTCTGGGTTTGTATAGTTTGACAGTTTTATATTAATAATAGTAATGATTGTAGGAAGTTTGTTTGAGGTATATGTATAATTCTCACATTGTTTTAAACATAGTAAAAGATATTACTGTTATATATTTCTTTTTCATGTACAGAGAAACCAAAGCAAGCTGCACAAGGAAAAATTTTAATTAAAGATCTCAAGAATAGTGCAGTTTATAATGACACAGTAAAAGAGATAGAAAACAAAGTAAAGGAAAAAGCAGCTCGAATGGAAGATGGCGAACTATCCGATAGTAGTACAGACAATAGAACTCCAACGTTAAGTCCTAGTCCAATACGGAGTCATTCAATAAGGTCACCAACTTTAAGTCCAAATCTAGAAAAAATGGAGGACAGATTGTTAAATTTTGCAAAAGGTGGAATAACTTTGAGAAATGACCTGAGATTAATATTGAGAGAAAAAGAGAAAAAAAGACTTGAAAATATGGATAAAAAATCGGATGATCCAGAAAAATCAAAGTTGTACATGGATAATGAATACAAAGAAAAGGAGTATAACTATAATCAGAAATCCGCTACAAACAAAGATAGTAAACGTAACCAGAATTGCCACACACATGAAAGAAAACGTTCCGAGTCTCGAACACGCACAAGCTTCCATAGAAGTAGAAGCAGAGGAAGAGATAAACGAAGAGATAAAAGTAAAGAGAGGCATGCTAAAAGTCGTAGCAACGATAGACGAGAATCTATAAAAAGTAGAGAAAAACGAAGACACAGAAGTCGTAGCGATGATAGAAACCGAGACAAATATGTACGTGGAAGAAGTAGAAGTAGAGAACGAAAGTTAGTATGGTTTCTTTTTATCAATATGCAAACCTGTATTATATTCGTAATATGTGTATATATGCATATATACTTAACTTATATTTTTTAAGAGAGAGGATAGAAATTGATAAGAAGAAATTATTGGAAATTGCAAGAAGGAATGCCATAAATATGATTAAGCAAGGAGCTTTACCATTGGCACAACAAGACAAAGCAATTGCTGCAATACAAGCAGGTGGAAAAACAGTAGATGAACTCACGGGTAGTTATTCCTATTATCCGTATAATATATAGCCTTTTAACAATTTTTAAGGAAATCTATTTTTTTTATTTTAGATTTTTGTAAATCGCTATCAAAGTCTGAAGCATTAGGTGAACTTTCTAGTATTTCTTCAGAAGAGGATGCAAGTGATACCGAGAAAGGTTTTCATCATCCTTTCCTGCTTAAAGGACGACCTAATTCTATTATTATGAATATTCGGGTAGATTTGATATATTTAACACGTCTTTTTTTACCATCTTGATATATTTGTCTGTTTGTAAATATTACAACATTACACATTAGGATGCCAAGCAGTTACCAACAAAAACATTCCAAGAAAAAACAGTAGAGTCATCGAATCAGTTACGTTTACAATTTCCTGTATCAAGTGGACAACATCATAGAAAAAGTGGTAAAATTTTCCATTACAATTAAAGTATATGAAAATATTTATTTCAATATGATCTTTTACACAATATTTAATATTATATAGAAAACGAATGGGTACCAGTTACCCCCAAAAAACCAGAACCGAAGAAACAATTTGTACCAGCTACCGCACCAAGTAAACCTCCTGTCGTAATGCCTTCGCCTATACCTACACCTACACCTGTACCTCCAGTGCAGTCAACTATTTTTCCTCAACCCATACCTACCGAGGTATGAATAAAAAATTACATTGTTCTTAGAATTATGTTATAATTATATTATATTTATAGCCGATAGATATTGGTTCGATAGTATCTCAAAGACTAGCAGCAATGAGAAAATTAAGGGAAAATCCAAATGATGTATGTGCTCAAAATGAAATGTATCGTGCACAAAATGAGGTAACATCATGGATACTGAATTCAATATAACGTATTGATAGTATTACATATCGTTTATATGTTACATTGTAGATGAGAACTTGGGCTGAAAGTAAACAAATGCCGGGTCAGTTTACTGGCAGTACAGGAGCCAAAGTGCTCTCCCCTGCAGAACTTACATCAGGTTACCAAGCCTGGGCTCGTAAGGTAACAGTATTATTTGCAGTTCAATTATGTCTCATTGATTGTCAGACCATATTTATTTTATCATACAAAGCTATAACAATCCTTAATCCAATTAGATATTTAAATGTCAGATAGATGACAAAATTATATTTGTAATATACAGGTACATGTGGTAACGCATATGTCTTAAATATATCACAAGTTTCGCTTCTTTTTTTTTTTCACAATTCATTGACTGAGACTGATATTGCCTGTAACAAGTTTTCAGGTACAGTTTCTATTCAGATCAATTTTAAGCTGATCTAATAGGAACTGTAATGTAGGCACAGACTATTTCTTCTGTAGAGGTAGACTCTGTGCCTGCATGGACACAGGAGCACCGTTATTTTAAACATTTTTCATGTAGTGTGACCAAACCATGTACCACTGGTGAAGATAAATGAGCAGTGTATGGAAACAATAACTGTGCAAAGTACATTTATATTTATAATGGGCTCTTGTGAGATTATTGCTAATTATCATCAGCTTCCTATCATAGGATTTCATCGGGTCTTACTATATCTTTCTCTCATAAAGCTGGGATATTTAGCATTAGTCTGCATCCACCTGAGGGTTTGTTACAGGCACATAGCTACATCAGAGAAGAAACAACTTCAGCGGCGTGATGTCAAATTTATAATTTCTGTGGTAAGTATCCTCACCGAAAAAGTATTAGAATTTTATACAGTCAATTACTACATTGGAATACTATGATCGGGCAAAGATTATTTAAAAACTTTCTGTTACATATTGCTGTCATTTTTGTATATTAATTTAATTGGCATTGCGACATTCATCATGTCCTAATCTACTATGATATTTAGGATCAATTAGTATCAGCACAACCTGTTTCGGGTGGGATGGGTATGGCTTTACTGCAGAAGATGGGTTGGCGACCAGGGGAGGGTTTGGGAAAAAATAAAGAAGGCACTCTTGAGCCCTTGCAGCTCGAAGTCAAATTGGATAAAAGAGGACTTGTTTCGGAGCAAGATATTGGACAGAAAATAGGAAAAGCTACAAAGCCAGTAGTACCCGCGATTAAAACATTAGAAGGTACACAATAAACAAAACTTCCTCAATTTTATAAATTAGTGGGACTTGATACACTTACAACAATGTTACAGGCAAACATCCAGTCTCATTATTGGGTGAATACTGTTCAAAACGAAAACTTGGTGCTCCAGTTTATGAACTGTGTTTTGAATGTGGACCAGATCACAGAAAGAATTTTCTTTTCAAAGTATGGTGATCTTTTATATCCTCATATAATACTTTTATGTATTCCTTATATCTAATACTATGTTCCAGGTTAAAGTTAATGGAATTGAATATAAGCCAAGTGTAGCAAGTCCTAACAAAAAACAAGCGAAAGCAGAAGCAGCACAGATTTGCTTACAAACTTTAGGATTATTACCAGAGCCTAGTTCTGTATCTGTTTCAGAATCTTGAAGAACCTAGTTCATTGTAACTTTGTTAATACATTGACTACAGTGCCAATATATTATGTTACCTAACATAATTTTAAAATTTTGAATATCTTGATTTATGTACATATCAAGATATTAAAATATACATTGGAAGTTAAACCGAATAAGTATGATATGTTTAAGTAATAAATAAATTAAAACAACAAAAACTTTATCAGAAATTCTATATGGTAGTCAATGTGTTAGAAATGTTTTCAAAAGTTACTTTTCTGTGAATAACAAACAGTTGTAAAACAATGTATAAAGTTTGTAAGTTAAGGACATAAATTAATTTTTTTAATATCATTATGTACATGCATCATTTGTAAGTTTACCATTCCAGTGCATTTCATTTTTACTCATGCAATAAGCATATATGGATATAGTGTAAATAAAATTAAATTATGTATATCCATCGTGTTATCTCTTTTATTTTTATTATGTACTGTCACATGCATGTGTAACATTAACCTAATACAAAAGATGCATTTTGAGTATAGTATAACATAAAACATTGAAGAAAAACTTTTATTAACATGTTGATGTTCCTTTTAATGCCTATAATATGCTTTATTGGATTGGCGACTTCTATAAGAATTATTTACTGAAAATATTGAAGACAGATTTACTTATTAGGTTAAATTACTTTCAAAGTAGGTATACAAGTTTCTTAAAATAAATTGTATTTTTCAATATAGTTTCAATCAATTTTTTTGTTCTATTTATGTACAATTTTAAGAAAGATTATGAATTTCAGTACTGCAGTAGTTTTAGAGAAAAAGCAGATGCTAACGTCCATGTTGTTATATATACATTGACAGGTTGGTTATTTATACGATTTATACTGTAATGGACGATGTAGAAGCTCCAATATTTTACGACGATGAGGGTGACTTTGTTGGACACGAATATTTCCAAGATGCAGATTATGAATACGACTACGAGGAAAATATTGAGAGAGAAACATTGTTAGAATTGTATCAATATTGCCTCAGCCCCACTGTTTACGATACAGCATCATATATATTACCGCTACTTATTTCCACGATTTTATTTCGATTATGTGCTCGTTCTCGTAAGATACATATTTCTATGCGATATATATATGTATATATATATATAAACGTATTAATGAAACATGCAATTAAATGATCTACTTTATTTTAAATTACAGAATATATATCCCATAAAGTTTTCCATGTATTGTCAATGTTGATTGGCATATATAATATCTATCACTATGTAACAGAATGTTTATATATACTGTTAGTACTTTGTATATTTTCATATATCACTTTACATGTACCTAAAAACTATTGTAAAAGCGTAGGAATATTTTTACCACCTCTTTTCATTATTGTATATTGGTAAGTTACTAAAGTACAGTTTTCTTTCTAAAACTGTAAATGTAGATGTACAACATTTTTATGCTATTGTTTTTGATTTTCAGTGAATTTTCTATGCCCCCAGTAGTTTGGCATAAGATACGTAGTGTTGTAATGACCATGGCAATGAAAACTATTAGTGTAGCAATAGATAAAATTGATTCAAACAATTTACCTAACATTTATAGTTATATGGGATATACTTTTTGTGGTGTGACATGTCTTTTTGGTCCATGGATATCATTCAAAGATTACATTTCAGCACGTTATATAAATCATCAGGTATGAAACAATTATTTCTGTCATGTGTCAGATTCTTTGATTATAAGCACATGAGAAAAGAATATAGATACCAAAAATTTTTAATTGTAGGATAAATGGTGGATACTGTGTGCTATTCAATGTACATTTTTATCGTTTGTGTTTTTAACTATGTCAAACTGCTGGACACAATGGATAGTAATGGATAACTCTTGGAAGTTAGTAAATCTCATTTTAAAGATAATTTTTGTATTTTTTACTATGATAGATACTGAATTGTATTTATTATTCTAGGTGGCTTTTAGCTTACAGGGATGCACTGTCTTTCAGAACATCTCATTATTTCATCTCATATATTGCATCCACTGCATTGTTAATAGGGGGATTTCCACAAACTTTAACTACTATAGTAAAGCCGTTAAAAGTAGAATTTCCACGGTCACTTGTACAAGTTGTTATTTGTTGGAATATACCAATGCACTTCTGGTTGAAAACATGTATGTAAATACATTTAGTGTTCTTAAGATACTATTAATTTTTTTTAGTAAAATCGAGGATATTAAATAATGAAGTACCGGTATAAATTTTTAGATATATTCCGTCCCAGTATCAAATACTTAGGAAAATTTGGAGCTATAACTATGACATATTTAACAAGCGCTCTTCTACATGGGTTAAATTTTCAGCTGGCAGCAGTTTTACTTAGCCTTGGATTTTACACATATATAGAATTCCAGCTCAGATCTATGCTTGCAAATATTTTCGATGCGTGTATCTCGTCCAAGCAATGTACTAAGAATAAATGTACACACACCTATAATACTCATAATTCTTGGTGGGTTTTTCCTACAAATATGATGTTTTCTGGACTATCAGTTTTTCATTTAGCTTATCTAGGTCTTATGTTTGATACATCTGAATTACAAGATACAGGATACAGTTACATTCACACTATCGAAAAATGGTACCAATTAGGATTTGCTAGCCATTGGGTAATGTTTGCTACTTATTGCATATATTTTTCAATTAGGTAATACCAAATATACAAATTAAATTTTTATTGACTTATACTATTTGCTCATGTCTACCAGTATTAAATGAACAATGTATTAGAAAAATTTTAAATTATTTAAAGAAGTTGTAATATAACTCTTTAACTTTACACTTTTGTACTGATACCTTATCTTTTTGACTACTTTTTATAACATTTGCTATGAAAATAAAAAGAAGGAAAAAACAATTGTTTTTCATTACATGCAATCATATTGAGTAGGAAAGCAGTGTATAAAATTCTAGAAGTAAGTAAAATACATAGTCTTTATTAGATGTATAACATAACATAAAATATGTTTGCACGTGTGTATAAAGCGTATTACAAAAAAGTAGCATTTAATAGCTATAAGAAGGTTTATGAACCATGATTGTTAAATAATACTTCATTGATATTTTATAATACCAATCTAATGTCGTATGCCACACTTTAACATAATCATGACACCAAATAAAGATACTTTTGTAATGAAAATCAATGCATTCTAATACTATGTTTCTGATAATATATCTGATATATAATAATACAATTCAAAGTATTTCTAAATCGACCTCTTACATTTTTCTTTACAAAATATATGAAAAAATTGTCTAAGAGTTAACTACATATTTAAGGCAAAAATTGAAGCATTGCATGTTTTTACACATTCTATAAACTAGATGACAGTCAACTAAAATTATTTAATGAATATAACCAGCTTTACAAATATCAAATTTCTCAAATATGTGTTACAATTGTCGAAGTAGTAATGCATGTAATACGTTTTATAACAATATTCCATCTTCGATATAACAGATTCATAATTTTACATTGATTTCCACTATGTAATTATAAATTTTGCCCAATGTTCACTATTTTGAATCGTTAATTACAATCTAGAACAGCCAATTCACAATATATTTTAAGATTACATATTCCTATCAATTAAAAAATGTACTTTCTCCCATAGTCTTAGGTGGTTGGACCTAATGTACAATAGATTATTTTACATTATTAAAATATCTTTGTCCTTAACTATTAATAACATTATTTTATGAAATGCATTAATCTTTTAAAATATTAATGAATTTTTATGTAGTAATCTTATATAATTACACTAATGTGTGTGTATATATATGTATGTATATGTATATACAAATATACCACATATATACCTGTAGTGAATGACACACTGTATAAATGGATTTATCACAAAAAAGTATACTATAATGAAGAAAATAATAAATGTCCCATGAAACTGTGCTAATTTTTTCTATCCATTGTATTTTCTACAATAAATCCATTTATGGATTATAATAGATTATCACGTGTATCAAATGCTATGTGTATGTACGTGATATACATATAACACACATATAGAAGCATCTACATTTCTGTGAACAATTTATTTTCACGTTTACTAAAATATTACATTCATTCTGATTATACGTTACTATAAATATATCTACTCATTTAATTACATATTCTACATTGATAAAAATGAATACAACAGTAACTGTACATGATACACACTGTACATTATCGCACATCATTATTTAGCACAACATTATAAGATTTATGCACCTACACTTGTGTTTAAGAAGCCCAAAACTCATTGTTGTTCTCGTAGTATTTTACAAGCATATTTGTATGAACTAAACTTAACTAAATTATCAGTTCAATATGTACATTGCATAATTTTCTGAATTTCAATTGCAAAATAATATTCTATATTAAAGTTAGTATTCAGTGCGAAAAATGTGTTGGTAAGATACTTTAAATTATAAAAAGGATAATATTAAAAGTATGTAGTTCAATACATTCTGTGTATGTGTATAAACATATAATCCATTATATATATATATATTATATATATATATAGTGTAAAAGCTGTTACAGTTAAGAACATCACAAAAGAGTGCTTTTTCTAGAAAAGTATTGTGTGAAATATGTAACACATTTATAATATTAACAGTACATCATATTGCATTTATTATTATACTTAATAGCATTTGAAATACTAAAATATTTTTTTTAATGTATGTGATGCTACAAAAAGAAAACTGAGACTTTTAACTGTATCTTCTCATTACATTACTTGATTGTATGATTGTTCAGATTATATTTATTTTAAAACTAGTCGAATTTCAATTGGCAGAAGCAATGACTAATAACTCACATACCATTCTTAATAATATTATTAAAATTAAGGGAAAAAAATGATTTGTTTCTAGATTCAAATGATTGCATTGAAACTAAATATTTTTTTTTATAATCGCATATTTTGATATGTTTATAAGTTTGTATGTACAAATACAGTATAAAAATTTAAAATCTTGTGCATTTGTATCAACAAAGAGAATATTTGAAGACACAGTTATAGTTGCTATCAATAGTAGTACAGATGAAACAATTAAGCAAATTTTTCATAGTGTAGCATGTTTTACAGGTTAAATTCATCGTTATTATGTTATGAATGAAATATTTTGATTCTGGATATTGTACATGTAATACGATTAGCACATTAACAAATTTATATAAAGCTATATTTATTTTTCAAATCTATATTGATCATAAACTATTGTTTCAACTTAAAATTTGAAAAATGTATAATACATAACACTTTGTTTAATTTAATAAATATATGAGAAAGAGTTAGGTTTATGTATAGATATAACATCTAAAATGAAGACACATAATTTGTGTTAATCACATAACTATAAGAATGCACATTAGGATTGTAAGTTTCTATTTGCTGTAACTTCACTTTTATTTGCAGCAGGCTATAAGTTATAAACACGACTGAGTGGTCGTAATGACTACAAGCATAAAATTCAAATGTGGATAATTGTATCAAACTTAGAAGGAAAAAAATGTCAAGTTTTTAAAAATATATTTTGATACAAAAATGCATATTTACGCTTACCACGGTAAATTTAATTAAATGTACATGTTAAAGTAATGTTTCATGAAGTTTTTATTAAGAATGATGAAAAGTAACAAAAACTGAAGACGAATATACAATTTTGAAATTATTTGAAAAGTATCCTTATAGTACTGTATTTTCTGACCAGCAGAAAGATAATGTAATGGACAAATTAATGAAAATCACGTTGAATTTTCTTACGAACGTTCAACGTATCGCAAAAGATGGAAGAATTTTTAAATCTGTGCAGAGGATAGCTAGTTATGAGAAACTTATAATCCAAAATACGAATACATAAAATAACTACCTTGTAAAAATTATGACGACCACTGTAGATCTATTCAACTTTTGTTGATTATGATAAAAGCTTGAGCAACTTAGTTGCTCAAGGTGAAGATTGGAGATCAGTAAGATGATTTCACTGAATGATCGGATTTAAGCGATGAGATCTTCGGCGCTGGTGAGATGCTCGAATTACCGGATTGTCCTCTCCAACGCCACTGAGAATATCGGTTAGTCATCTGATAAATGCAGTTTTATAACTTTTGGTTGTGCGCGCACTGCAAGTCACAGAAATAAAAGGGAGCACTTTGTTAGCCACCTCAGGAGCTACTTTTTCCCTAAGCTCTAAATGTAGCTTACATAGTTGAGAGGCCTGGACAGTGATTTAATCTAACAAAAAACGTATTTATTCTTAAAGCACATCTAATTCTGTAAATGATACGTACAAGTTATTTTAGTCAAACAATATTTATATAAAAAAATTCATAAATAAATGTAATCGTTTTATTATTATTTGTCCAGGCCTAACATTGTTTAAAAAATTATAATTACATGCCTTTAATGGAAGTTTCCTAGTGCATGCTACATGCATGTTAATATTAGTGATCAGTAATATGGACATTTTTATATTGCTTCGTATCCTTTTACATTATATACATTATGATATGTAAAATTATAAAACATATTATTAATTCAAATAAAAGGATAGAAGCTAAATTACAAATATAATACAATGCAGAGGAAGATCTTGTTTTATATACAAAACATGTAACAAAGCCTATTGTGAAATAAAGTGCAGTAAGTAGTTATGAAACTGTTACAACCAGAGAGCTATATAACTGTTACTTAGCAAAATTTTGAGAACAACAGTTACGGAGACTTACTGCCTTAGAGAATGATAACGATTTACTCGATCTGCAGACCTGAGAATCATATTCATGCCTTGTTGCGGCTGCCTGACGGAATAATTTGCAGACGTATTTGAGATGCGAGTCTCGGGGACGCAGGAAGTTCTTATACTGGCCCTTGTCACCGGTTTCGTAACAGATATTGATGTAACGGAAGTAGCGGTAGTTGTGTTGTTGTTGATATTACGGATCTGTGTTGCTGGTTTAGTAGGCTTAAGACGACGCGAAGACGGATCACAGGTACTGTTGACCAGCCAACTGTTTCTATAATTTTTAGTAAAGATAGTGATCCTGTATTTACTTTCGCAGCATGCAATAGTTAGAGCATGAACGAAATTTAGTATAGTTATAATAAAGCTGAATGTATAAAAGAATTCTACTAAGATTTAAATAAATATTAAAGAAATAAAGTAAATAAGCACGCAAACAAAAGAAGAAGAACTACTACGAAGAAAAGTAATAAATGTAAGCAACTAAGAACAACTGTACCAGGGTGTTCGGTTACTGGTGTCAGAAGCTTTAAGAGGTGATTCTAAATGTCAAAATAAAACAAGAATGAGGAAAGTGTGTTGAAGGCTTTGTTTTCAAGTTATTAACAATCACAAATTGGGGTCAGAAATTACTAAAACCAAATCTGCGTACAAGTGGTAAGCGTAGGGCACTACAGTTACGTCGCGTACACCGGCGACCCCTGAAAAAAAAATACATTCCTACTTCTTAGCCAAATATGTGATATGTACCTTTCCCTTATAGTACAACCCCCAATATCTGCAGGTCATTCGCGCGAGTACGAGGCTGCCACAAAGCAGGTAGTATTATATCCACTCTCTGTTGTTTACACATTTATTACTTTTCTGTCTTTTACGTAGGATTCAAGTAACGGTTCTTTAGTTCGGTAGCAATCGTCAACGCGAGCACATCTAGTTTCCGCGGAATAGCCCTCGAAATTTTTTTATAGTATTAATTTAATTTATTTATTATACTGAGTTTTAGTTTAGTTTAAGTGAGTTTATTGACTATTTATTCTGTGTAGTGTTGTTACTCTAGTGGATTTGAACAAGTAACCAGATTCAATGCTGTGCAACGATTTGTGTCTGCTTTGTAATGAAATGTCGCAAGAAGATAGTACAAGCTCGAATGCAAGCGTCACATGTCACTTCTTTGGCTATGACGTAAAAATTAATTCTTTTTAGGCGACGCCTAGTGTACGTGCCGTCAATGTTATATACAGATTGGCTGGTTTCAGGCGTTTCTGGCCTGAAGTTTGAACTGTTAAAACTTTAACACAAAATCTTCAACACAATTTCGACATTTTTGATTTTCGTTTTATTTTAACATGTAGAATCACCCCTTAAAGTTTCTAAAACCAATAGCTGAACATTCTGTATAAGCAAAACCAACTAACTGACCTCTTAGCAACAGCAGTCGTGGTGGACCTAGGCAGAACCTTTTTTGTAGGATCTTTTTCCTTATTTCTAGTTAACGTATTAATTGTACTTTTCTGACTTCTTGCTTGTAACAAAGGTCTTAAGTAAGGACTACAAACGTAATATATATATTCATTAATAACTTGACCATCTTATAAAGAATATGATAAATTATATTACAATAATACTTACTGTACGACAGCTGATGAATTAGTAGTCGTATTAAGGGTGTGATTTGTTGGTAAACCTCTTCTTTTCGCTTTGATTAAGTTTAATTTGCTACCTTGAGACAATGGCATGTATTTAGTGGTACTGGTGCCAGCAGTAGGAGCATGATCATCTAATGCGATTCCATCTACTCTGTGCATTATTCCTGAAACTTTATCTTGCACTAAGTTAGAATCTTTCAGATTAGACAAGAATACTATCTTGGGTCTGCCAACTATGGAATAAATTCCATATTTGTGCATTGGATTTCTATTTTCTGTTTGTAGTGGTTCTTTCAATAGAGAGTGAAGGTATGCTTCCTTTCTAAAAAAAAAAAAAATTTTGTTTCAGATTCAAATAGAATAATCAATAGAAACATTACTTGACCCAAGTACATACTCTTCCAACCACTGTTGCTGGTGTCCAATTACAGAACCTGGTCTACATATTCTTATCCATGCAATTGTTTCATGAGCCGTTAAATGATAATGTTTCATGATATAACATCCTATTAAAGAACCTGTCCTACCGAGTCCTGCTTTACAATGTACAGCAACAGCACCGCTTGCATTTTCTGTTATTTTAAGAAACTGACGCATAATCGAATCTGTTGGTGTTGAACCATCAACAAAAAACAGATCTTTATGTTCAAATCCTGCATCAGTGAAACTTGAAGCATCATAAATTTTTGTGTTAAGCCGTATAATTGTAGACACACTGTTGTGTCGGAAATATGTAAAATATGATTCTGGTGCATGAAGTGGATACCCTGTCAAGAAGAGACAGAAAAATGTTATTACTTGTAGTCCATTCCAAAATGTTAATATAGATACATACCATTTTCTATTTTAGATTTAGCATAAGGTCCACAAAATGCAATAAATTTACCAGGAACAATCCAGTTTAAATCTCCATTTTCTACTCTTTCAAAATATTCGTATTCTTTAACGCGAAAATCTTGAAAATTAAAAAACCCAAATCTGTGGCACTTATAGATGGCACTTAGACATTCAATCAAGGAGATTTGGTACCATGGTGTACCAACAGAAGCATCACGAAACATAATGAAGGGTGGACAGTTGGAACTACTAGTTAAGCAATTGAATGCTTCTTCAGCTGTCCGTTTCAAATACAATATCTAAAGAATATATTTCCACTATTATTATATTCTTATAATATGTTATTCATTACATTAAAGAATACAAATCATTCACAGAAATCTTACAGCATAGCTTCCTATGAGAAAAGCAGCATTAACTCTCTTGTGTGGATTCATAGTTGTATAATGTATTATCTTTTTCTTCTTTAAGGTTACTGCCTTTAGTTTTTTATTAACTTTTTGGCAATAATGATATAACATTGCAAGATTTAATGGGCCAAAATCATCATAAAAATTTTGATAAATTAATTCGTTATCGATACTGAAATAATGGGTGTTTGGAGTACTCTTTGGTTGTACTATTTTTCTCAATGTTACAAAATATAATCGATCTAAAAAAAATAAAAAAATATATCATGTTTTTTTTAAATTTGTTATTAAGTTTTATTTTTTAAAACTCTTGGATATTCTTTACCTTTTATGAATTCTGTTGCACATACTAATATGTCATTTGTATCCTCCATTGTTGATTTGTACTAATGTGTATCGTACTGGGAATACCAACCAAGTAAGTCTATCATTGATGTAACCAATGAAACAAAGGACACAATTTAATTAACATGATTAGGGATTATAAGAAGTATATAAACACACAGAAGGTTAGAGTGTCTGTAATAAGGGTAAATTAGATTCATCTACCTACATACAGAAGTACATTTCCAAGGTTCATTTGATAGGTGTGAATTCATAATTAGAATACCATATAAGACGATGCAGTGTGTACTCTATTAAAGAATCCTTACACTTACCTGCGTGACCGTTACAAGATTCAAATTTGGTCAATGGAGAGTCTGTGATGGCGAACGATTACGTCGTAGACCTCTTCTGGTGATATTATACATTCAAATATTTATTACTTCACGTACATCCTTCGACTTGTCTTTATTACTGCTTCTTTTTTATAAATTACTATTGAATCTTTAAATTTTTACATATATCAACATCATTATCCACCATAGGAGCAGAAGGTACTTTCCGTACGTACTGCCATATTGGTTGCCCTCGTTATATTAAACCGATGACGATATGTGAATTCGATGTATTCAGCAACAAACATCGTAAAATGTTTGTTAACGTGGCGTCAAACGTTCAGTTTAAAATGTAGTCAATGTTACACATTTACAACACCATTCCGTCGTAACAATTCGCATCCGAACTTTATTTAAAGCGGACTAGGTAACGATTACATGTTCCCAATGATTGGAAAACAGCGCACTCTATACACGAAACATCCCACATTATCCATAAATTGTCATTGCTACTTTGTAAATTTGAAGTCAATGTATTTTTTTACGTATTTCTTTTAAAAGTTTTATTGGTATTACTTTCTTCGTATATTATGTAATCCGTTTCTAGATTATCCAAAACATTTAGAAATTTTATATGCTTAAATATAACGTTACACGGTAAATAAATGAAATACAAATAAACGTTGTCTATGTCGCTTTCGGATTGACGTCTTTGTATCGATATAATTTAATAATGATGGTGGTTAGTTGTTCTCTATAATTAAATTTTTTTTAACGATACAGGTGCCTAAATAATGATGTCATTTGACGGTAAGAATGTGGCACTAATTGGCTAGTAGAAGAATCACGTTTCAAAACTCTTGCGCCTGCTCCGGGGGTTCTATGACTCCACTTCCTCACAGACACAGGGTCCCTGGCGCCTCCACCGGGGGCTCTGTGACCCCACGTCTAACCACGCGGGGTCTTTGGCGCCTCCACTGGGGTTCTATGTCCCCACTTTCTCACCACACGGTCCCTGGCGCCACCTGCCGGGGTTCTGTGACACCACGTTCTCACCACACGGGGTCTCTGGCGCGCCCAACCGGGGGTTCTATGACCCCACGTTTACATCGCACGGGGTCTCTTGCGCATGCTCCTGGGGTGCCATGACCCCACTTTTACATCACACGACGTCTCTTACCACTCGAACGCACAGTTTCATCTATATAGAAGCATGTGACAATTTCAGAAAGAATTGCTATTTCTTAAAGGATTGCATACAAATAATCAAATTACAAAACGATTTCAGTTAGAGATGGCGTGCAAAATACTAACGGTGGTTTATCACAATGATCACCGAATCACGATCACGGTCGTGATTTAACTTCATTCACAACCGTGATTGCGATTTTTTTATGTTGAGTTAATTTGCTCACTGCGATCGTACGTCCTTGATCTTTAGGCAGAAAAACGTATTCAATATGATTTTACGATGAATTACATTACTATTCGCGTTTGTAAAAATTTGTAGAAAAAACAAGAAATTCTAAAAGAATGATTTGCTAGATAACATGTAGATTATAATTTATAATCATTAATTTATTCATTATTCTTCATTGTTTCTAATTATTCCTTCACTTTATACGATATAACTCGAATTTTTGTTTTGATGTCATTAATATAAAATATACAGATTATGTGTCGCGTGTAAAGAACTGTTAGGTTTCTCCACCAATCAAAAACGATCATGAAAAATCACGAATCACTGTGAAAAATCACCGTGATTGGGAACGAACGTGATCGAATCACGAGTGATTCACAAGTAGCAGTTCACGCCATCTCTAGTGTATATCGAAAACATTAAAATTAGAATCAATTAGAATGCATGAATGCATGCTGATGTATGCTAACAGGACGAATTGATCGTCGAAAGTGCAGGTCTCGAGTCTGTTGATGCGAACCAGATACTAAATATCATGGTATAAAAGAGAAAAATTTCGTTCCGACTAAGCAGTAACGAGTTCGGGAGGAGATAACGACGAATTATTAATGTATATTACTGTACTGTGTAACCGCTGGGTACGAACCTACGATTCGTACCCTATACCTTAGGTTCGTAGGTTACGAACCTAACCATAACAGTTTTGAAAGCTAGCACAGGTGAAGCTAGGTGTCATACAAAATGACGTTTTAGCGAGCGTTAGGTGAAATTGAAAAAATATAAGACAAACAATGGAACGTAAAGAAAATATGCAACGCAGTGCAATTGTAACAGAATCTGCAGCTACAAAAACATTTATATTTTCTGCACCAAACGTACTTAGTCATCCTAAAGTTAATAGTGCTGACGTGAGTCTAGAAGAAGCATCAGATACATCTAATATTAAGAAAAATGTTTTTACTTTTGCTACACCAACAGCAGTGTCACAATCAAGTATTCAGGATATACCTATTTATAAATCAAGAATATCTGAAAAACAATATAAACCTAAAATATCTAGACACCCATTTAAGCCAGCAGTTAATGTATTTGCCCAAGCACTTAAAGATACTACAATGTTTGAGCAATTGAAGAAGAATTCTAAATCTCAAGTTATTAGAGGTAGCCCAGAAAATTCAATAACATGCACCAATGTACCTCAATCTTTACTTACAAAAACAACAGCAAAAGAATACTTTATGATGTTTGGAAATCTTTTCAAAATTACTATTCGTCTTAAGAAGCAAATAATCATTGTTACTTATGCAACCAAAGGAGAAGCCACTATCGCTTATAATAAAAGTGGAGAATATTTAGGAGAAAAATTTAATGTAGAATGGACCAAATCTTGTGCATTACCCAAATCTCCTACAAAGAAGAAAGATTTCCAGAAAAATATTGTAACTAACTTTTTGAAATCACCAGAGGATGAAATTAAATCAGAGTTAGATGCTATGATGAATCTAGAATATAATATGCATAATGTTTGTAGAAAAAATTTTGATGGAACTGTGGTAGAAAAGAAAAAAGCACTGCAGTCCAAAAGTACATCGAAGTCGATAACTAGAGTGGAAAAAGCATCTGTAAAATCTGAGAAACACAAAGCAGACAGTCAAATATCGGATCTCTTACCTAATGCTACTATTGAAGAATTGCAAAATATAATTCGTCAACCTGCACATACCTCTGAAGATAAATATAACATATTAGAAGCCAGAGATCGACTCATGCGAACTAAGCAAATTAAGTCGCATACACTAGCAGCAGCTAAAGTTATGATTGGTACATGTTCCGATATGTGCCCTGAGAAAGAGCGTTTAATACGTGAATCTAATAGGCAACTATCATTATATGAACAGCTTGATGGCAGTGAATACAAAATAAATCATGCATTAGCAGTAAAACAGTATTCTAGATCTTCTGCCGATCAAGAAGAACCAATGGCACATGAACTGAGACCTGTAAAATCTTTAAAGATGACAATGAGTTATTTGCTACATGAAATAGCAAATCTTTGTGATGAAGAAGGAACAAATTTGGGAGATTGGTATCATTTCTTATGGGATAGAACAAGAGGAATTCGAAAAGATATAACACAGCAAGAACTGTGTTGTACAGATAGTGTTGAATTGGTTGAACAATGTGCTAGATTTCACATAGTATGTTCTGAAAGACTCTGTGCTGAAGAACCATCTGTATTTGATAAGAAAATAAACTCTGATAATTTAACAAAGTGTTTACAGACATTGAAATATATGTATCACGATTTGAGAGTAAAGGGAATCAATTGCAAGAATGAACCTGAATTTCGAGCATATATCATTCTATTGAATTTAAATAATAGCAATTTTATGTGGGATTTGCAAAGATTGCCAAAAAGTGTGCAAAGATCATCAGCAGTTCAGTTTGCACTAAAAGTATACTCTGTTCTGGAGTCAAATAATTATTATAAATTCTTTAAACTTGTTCAGAAAACCACATATTTAAATGCTTGCATCTTGCTTAGGTATTTCAATCAAGTAAGATTAAAGGCATTATCAGTTATGGTGAAAGCCTATTGCAGAACAACATCAACAGCATATCCATTATATGAATTACTTGATATTTTAGGTTTTGAAGATGAAGGCGAAGCTATTTACTTTTGTGAACAAATAGGATTAAATGTTTCAAAGGATGAGCTGCATGTACTATTAAATAGACAAAATTTCTCTATGCCTGTATTAAATATTAAGCAAAACAGAGCTTATAATGTAATAGAATCTAAACGAATTATGGAACAATCATCCATTGGCGAATGCATAGCAGGAAGAAAAATGCCAGAACAAACTTACAAATATCATAAGCCACACAACAGTTTTGATTCCCATGGTTATTTAATGCCTGACTCTGTTAATGCAGAAGATCAAAATAAAAATGATATTTGTAAACCAAACGATCCATATGAATATACAGATGAAGATACAATGCAAACTAAAAGGTCTGTCTCAGTTCCAGAAAACAATCAGAGTAAAACTCAAACTGCAGTCCACAATAGTGAGTCTAGAAATTCATTTGCTACATCTGTCGCAAACATTAATCCTGATGCAAATATCACTACACATAGAAAGTCTAGAACAAATAATTTCTTTGCTTTCAAACCTCCAACACAAATCAATGAATCTCAAGAACATGTAAATACATTGTCAGAATTAAAAGTAGAAAAACAAAAGGATGCAAAAATACTTAGTCTTGCACCAAAACAAGAAGATACTGCATTGAATGCAAATAGAACCTCTGAGTCCTCTTTTGGTAGCATATTTAGCACTACATCAACAACATCAAAATCTTCTAATGTATTCTCAAAAGCATGGGAACCACCATCATATAACAATAGTACTTCCCCATTTGTATCATTTACAAACAAGAGTATATTTTCTGAAGTTTCGCAAGGAAATGTATTCACTAGAAATGTTCCACCTTCAACAGTATTTTCAAGTACACAATCGAATGTGCAAACTGTTCCAGAATTATCAAGTGTTACAAGTACTGCAACTACCTTCAATAAAAATAAATTAAAAGAAGCACAAAGTTTTCCTACTCCTACAAAACAAGCACAAGAAGAAACAAAAGGTGGAAATATAAGATACAAAGAAAAAGAATGTTCAAGAAAAATGCAACAAATCAATGAAAGTACAGAACAAATTTTCCATGATCTTGAGACAGAAATTGTAGAAACCTATTGTTCTAATTTTATGACAGAGGAGATTAATAAAATGAAGATTTGCAATACATTGAGTGAAGATATCAAGAACGAAATTTTAACTGAAGTTGTTCATCAAATCTGCAGTAGTATTTTACAAGAGGAAATTATTGATACACAAAAATTACATGCACTCTCAATAAGAATAAAGGGTAGAATAATTGTGAAATACTTCAATATATGGAAATCTAATGTTTTGAAAAAGAAACAACGGAGAGAAGCACTGGATAGTACACCAGTGTGGTTGCAAAAGTATTCCAGTGAACAATGCGCAAAATTACTTTATTCCAAAAAACAGGATTTAGTTATTCAAAATATGTGTAAAAGACCAGGTGAACAGAAAGCTACTAGGTCTTATATTGATTCTATAGCTCCAATTGAAGTTATAATTTCTATGGGCATCAAAGAAAATTTGAAATCTCCTAAGATGAGTATGCATTCCAATTACTATTGGAAGTTAGTCATTTCTTGGCCAGATTTACACAATAAGCCAGTTTTATGGCATCATAAAAAAATAATGAATCAGTATCTCTGCCCTGACAACTATACCACAGAACCAATTATAAAGATGTGTCAAATAAATCAATTTGAGACCTTACATATTTGTTTACGGCACTTTGAAGGTCTGATTAGTGATCATAATTTAGTAGGTTCAGATAGTCTCCTTTTTATAAAATCTACTTCGGAGGACACAAAATCTGTTATGAAACGTTTAACTAAAACTATATTGTCAAGAGACAGACTTATGCCAATACCTCTAGCATTTATTGTCTTGGGTGATAACAACTTCGACACACAGGATGTGGAGATTGTCTCGACATTAGAGAAACTACTAAAAGCTAGATATTTATCAGTATATACGATTATACATGAGAAAGATTTGAATGAAAAAACAGTCTTAAATATGACACAAAGTGCAATGCTTTGGTTGTCTATGAATAAACCACATCAAAATCCATTAGAGATGGATTACTTACAAAATATTTGTGATACTTGCTTAACAGAAGAATTATGGTTGAGGTAATTGATAAAGTATTATTTTATTTGTTTATATTTCTTTGTTGTAAATAACTCACTGGTTCATTGTTTATAATGCTCACAATTTCTTAAAATTTTTACAGATTACAGGACGATTCATCCTTCAATGAAAAACTTTTACATGCTTTGAATGAGCCCAGATTTATAATTGATTTACATAACGAAGCAGTCACTTATCTAATGGATATAATATTAGATCCAGAATCTTTCATGTACACACAATTGGCTCCAGAATTTAAAAGATTCGTCAAAAACGAGTATACGATGCCCTGCAGCTACGAACACTTTGATGATACTTGGAAGACAGAAGAATATAAGGCAAATATAGAAAATGTGATCCTTTCTATTAAGTTACCCCAGTGGAGGTGAGTGATACTATAAACTTCTTGTATTGACCTGTGTATGAACAAATTTAATTAAATGCATTTGTATTTATTTTAGCTTCACCTGGCCATTAGATAATAGTAGCACACTTCATAAAAATATAATAACTTATTGTCAAGAAGCATTACTTGATATCGATAGCAATGAAGTATCTTGGAGTCTATTAAATAGCTTACTTTTTACATCTGACACGTTAACAGTTTCAAACTTTATCGAAGTTTTGTTACACATTGTTAGGAGGAAGATACATGGTATTGATAAAGACTTGAAAGTGGTTTACAATAAAAATCATATAAAACACTTTCGTACTTTACCGTGGTGGTTCATATCTAATACATTAAGGGAATACAAAATTGTACAAAAAGAAATTCACATACAAGAAAATGAAAAGGAAAATGAGAGAATTGATACAAACGAACCAATTACAAAAAAGCGAAAATTATATAAAGATCATGACAATGATTCTGAACTTGATCCATTAGTTGAATTTTGTGAAACTAGCCAAAATCAAATAATGGAGGTACATTGCATTTCAAAAAAGATCGAAAATTATTTAAAGGCACATCAACAGAAAAGTTCCTTATTTGAAGAAAGGCTGAAAAATGCCTTGTTCAATGAAATGTAATGTATTTAGAGACATGTTAATATAATTTAATTTTTGACCGCTTGAATGTTCTTATTGACTTGGGAGACTACTGTATTTTACAATATTTTCGAGATAGCTAGGTACATAGCATAAGGAATAAATAAGCATTGCTTTGTAGCATAAGATATTTTAGGTAACAAGACTTTCCCTAACTATGGTGTATAAAATAAGATTTTCAAGTACAATGTTTATTATAAAATCATGGAATTATGTATGGTTTGTTTAAAATATGTAAATGATGTAGTGTTTTGTATATAAAATTTTCATTACGCATATTACTGTTAAAATATATACAGACATAAGAACAATTAAAGTTCCATGTTATTTTAATTTTCCCATGTATTTAATTTGAATTCCTAAAGGAGTGTCAAATAGTATGCATATTTAAAGTTTTTATAATTATTCTGTTAATATGAATTGTTAAACAAGACAAGAAGATTTGAAAATTCTGTTATTAGATTGCGCATTTTATCCATTTATAGCGTACGCCATATTATATATGTGGAGTGTATTGTAATGCCTTCTTATTCTATTTTATTCCTGACAAAGATCCTAATAGGGTAAATAAATTTCCAAAACTAGTTCTTATAAATTAGTACAATACCAGTTTCATATTTTTATACAGTATGTATCTTTTTGTTTTTGTCGACAAAAACAAAAAGAAATTACGAAAGAATGAAACTCATTCATTACTCTCAATAATCGGGCTACGTCGATGTGCAATTATGGGTAATTACATGTTGGGTGATTATGGGCGGTATTCATAGTCCGAATTTCGTCTTCTAGTATATATATAATCAGTGGTCTATAACGAATAACGATCATTTTACCGGAAACTTAAAAACCCGCCTTACTCTGATGTGTCGACCTCTAGAGGAAAACTAGCTTACAAGGCATTTAAATGTTAACGGACTTTTTAAATGTCCGAGTTGGTCCGAGTGTTGAGGTCGGTCAAACGAGTAAGGTTTCAAAACAGAATTTCGTTATTTTAAGCGAAGAACTACCTATAACATTTTTATATTATTTCATGCTCCAATGATTAATTTTACTTTTACAAATTGAATATACATTTTAAGTGAGCTAGAATATAAAGAATAGTTACGTGGGAATGTGAGAATACTACCTCGACGTCTTCTCATTTCTATTTTTGGACTAGTGTAATTGTTTTCTTACATTTTTTATTTTTGATCATTATTGTTAGATTATACATATCTCGCATTTTAATAATGTCACATCTAAAATATATGAAAGAAATAAATAATTTGACTCGAATGGATGAGAACATTAAAGGACCGCTTCCACGATGGCAAAAAAAATGTTTGGAGACATCAAATTCAAGGTATTAATTTATTATTTTACTAAGGTCTTTTCAGTAAATTTAAGATGTTTAAGTATTTTCCAATGGCATTATTTATTTATCTGTGTAGTGTCAATATCAGTGTCAACTCCGCCCGAAAAATTACAAACGGATCGTTCGTTAATACAACTACAGGAAAAACACCAACGAAAAAAAATGATACTCGAACTAAAAAAACCCCTTCCAAAGGCTCCAAGAAATCGCCAAGTAAATCCTGTTTATAATTTACAATATTACTTAAAATACTCACATTTAAATAGATATAAATATATATGATTTTTCAAATAATATTTCATTAGGCCGTACTTCATCTACACCTGCTAAAACACCTAGTGGTGGTGATAGGTTCATTCCTTCCAGATCAACTACCAATTTTGATCTTGGACATTATAAAGTATTTATCTTTTAATATATAATGTATTTCAGTAATATCACATATTCTTATGAAAATAATAATTGCAAAAATGTTTAAATTATAGCTACAGCAACAAGCAAATGTAGAAAAAGATGAGGAAGGAAAAGTGGACAATGTAAGTCCTTCTAAGAGGGAAATGCAACGTCTTATAGGAGAAAATTTTCATGGTGGTGATATCAATAATATGAGAGTTTTGTCCTATCAAAATAAAGCCCCAGCCCCTCCAGAAGGATATCAGAACCCATTACGGGTTGTGTATAGTCAGAGTAAAACACCAGCAAGTGTGAAAGCATCTACCAGATATATTCCACAAACTCCTGATAGAATATTAGATGCACCAGAAATTGTTGATGACTATTGTAAGAGTTTTTTGATATATTGTATTTATTTAGAACTATATCTTCTTGTAACAGTGTTTTATCATATTATTAACATTACAAAACCTTAACTACTACTTGTTATAGTTAAATATTAATAACAACTCAACATGCATTTTAGATCTGAACCTGATAGATTGGTCAGAAAGTAATATCTTAGCTGTAGCATTAGGCTCTAATGTATATTTATGGAATGCTGCGACTGGAACTATAGAGCAATTATTCGAATTAGAGGGCAATGATTATATTTGTTCCGTTGCATGGATTCAAGAAGGCCCATATTTAGCTGTGGGTACTACAGTAGGAAATACAGAATTATGGGATTGTAGTCAGACAAAAAGGGTACGTGTAATGAATGGTCATGCAGCAAGAGTAGGGTCCCTTTCTTGGAATTCCCATATTTTGACGAGTGGATGCCGGTAAATTATTTTATCTACATTAATAAACTTACTTCAGTAAGTATTGTAGTTACATATACAGTTTCTTTTAGAGCAGGACAAATAGCGCACCACGATGTTAGACAAAGAGATCACTTACTATCATCAATAAACGCACATGCTCAAGAAGTATGTGGATTAAAGTGGTCACCTGATGGAAAATATTTAGCAAGTGGCGGTAACGATAATATGCTTTTAATATGGCCATCAATTGGCGGGCAAAATTATAGCCAAACGCAACCAATATATTCATTAAATCAACATCAAGCTGCCGTAAAAGCGCTGGCGTGGTGTCCGTGGCAAAATAATATTCTTGCAAGTGGAGGTGGTACAGCCGATAGAACAATTCGATTTTGGAATTGTAATACAGGTAAATTGAAACAAACTAACATATACACGAGAACACATAGTGATTTAATTTAACAATTTTTTTCTTCAACGATAGGCGCATGCTTAAATACAGTAGATACTAAGTCTCAAGTGTGTTCTCTCCTTTGGTCTACAACGTATAAAGAGATTGTATCCGGTCATGGATACGCGCAAAATCAATTAACAATTTGGAAGTACCCAGGAATGACGAAGGTTGCAGAATTGACAGGCCATACAAGTCGTGTTTTACATTTAGCAATGTCTCCGGATGGTACCACAATACTCAGCGCAGGAGCTGACGAAACTCTAAGATTGTGGAAATGTTTCCAACCAGACCCACATAAAAAGAAAGAAACTAGTGAAATAAAGTCTGTTACTTCTAGACTTAAGCAATCGATTCGATAATAATTTTATGTCAATAGAAGAAATAAATTTTCTATTTATTTTCTAAGTGAGTTAACACGTAGTTAATGACCTAAACTTCAAAGATAGGGGTTGATAACATGATTCCCTTTCGTTCGTTGTTTTAAAGTGGATTTTAAATAAACTTGTCATACTTGGTACCTGTAAGTATCGAGACATTTTCATGTAGTTTGTTCAATTCATTTGAATCCCAGTTTTACAAAAATAATAGTAATGGAATTAAATGCACTAAAAGATATTCAAATAAGTATTTTTTACTGTATTGTAATAAAAATATTTTATAAAATTATATATTACAATTTAAATAAAAATTCGATTTGTCATTTATTTAAATGTCCGTAGTTTAAATATATTCTATCTTGACCTACAGTCTTATGTATATGAAGGTGAAAGGTATGTTAAACCCCCACCCTTCTTACCTAGCCATTCAAAACTTCAGGTATTAATTTGCTGACCCAACCTGTCCTTAGAAGAGTAAAACAAAGTAAATATTTGGAAAATAGTAAACACAATAACAATTCGAAAGACGTTTTTAAATATTCATTAACGTGTATTACATTCTAAAATATTGGGCATTTTAAATACTGGAAATTACATTGCATAAAAATATGGAGGAACCAAACTCCAAAAACATATCAGTAAAGTCACAATGTAAATATAATGATCAAACTAGTAATATAGAGGATACAGTAGATGACAATGAACATGACTGGTGGGCAAGTGATAGCGGATCAAGTACAGGATCATATTATTCAGACACGGACAGGTACATATTTTCAGAATATGAAATATGCTTCTACAGTAAGTTTTTAACATGTCTTCTTTTTATGACAGTTCTACAGCAGAATGGGAATCAGAAATCAGTCCTACTGGAGAATTGTTTTACATAGAATCTGCTGCAGAAAGTATAACCGATGGTCATTCTTTATATAATGAATCAGAACATGATTCTCAACCAGAACTGACAAGACGTCGTAGTACAAGAGCTGGAAAACTCATGAGGCTCATAAGACGCAAAGAGAGTAAGAGATGGAGCACAAGAAATAAAAAAAATTATTCCAGCATTGCATCTAACAGTATAATAAATTCAGTAAAAGAAGGGAGTACAACTAAGGAAGTGACATTCAGAGATTTTCAAGTAAATATCCTGAAATTGTTACATAAATAGTTTCGAAAACGATATATATTTTATAAACAAATACATAAATATTTCAGGCTGGTGAAATTCGAGAAGTTACACTCTGTGTTGATCCAGATAGAAGACATAAATTGGGAAGACGAGCCACGTTATGTGAAGCATATTTTGGAATTACTCCAGGTGTTTTCTCTGATAAAACACGAGTTATGGTTGCTGGATTTATACCAGACGGAGAAGCAATAAAGAACAAAAATATTAAAATTGGTGATTGGTTGAGAAGTATAAATTCAACTAATGTCACATATCAAACTCTGGATCACGTATTATCCGAAATAACTATTGCAACAAATGTAAAAATGATAATTATCACGTTATGGAATAAAACTATGTTATTATACCTATATTTATCTTCTGTTCAGGTAACATTAGAATTGCAAAGAGTTGCAGGTATTGATGTCACAGAAAAATTGCCTGGATTAAATATTCCTAAGGTAATTGTAACTTTATATAATTTATGTAAACTTGAGAAAGTATATGAACGATAACTATTTATTGCTTTCACTATTAGCAATCCATATTGGTACAAAGATTAATGACTAAAGAAGGAAACAAAGACCTAATGCAGTCTATATTAAATTATCCACTTGGTGTACTGTATCTACGAACTGTAGAACTTACAGAAATTGGACCAGAATTACAAGGTGTTCTTTATACATTTCCCCGATCAGAAAATAAAAATGCTCAGCCTATTTTGTGCGCAGCAAGAGGAGCTTTCCTAACTCTTAATCACTTATTACCAGGAATAACAGGTTTACAGCCTACAAGGTATTATGAAACATTCACAGAATTAATTGATATAATTTCTATAATATGAGCGAAATTGCTGTTTATAGTACAACTTTTATAGTACTACTATACAGGTAGCAGAAGAAGAAGTACACGTTGTATACACACCGCGTGACGAAGAATTACTCCTAATAGCATTACCAAAAAAATGGTAAATAGTAACTACTTACCGTTTATTGTATAATACTGTATTATTTATCACGTATGTACATTTATTTTATGTTACTTTTCATGTTTTCAGTTGCAGTCTTGAAGAAGCAGTGAATGTATCAGTTGATATAGTCAGAACCTTAGAGTTTATGTATCAATCACTAACAAAATGTTTTACTTCTTCTGAAAAACATACTTCTTTAGATCACTTCTTCATTTTATTCATTCAACAATTATTAGATTTAAAGAATTATGGGAATAACATGATATTCTCTGATTGTCCTATGGAAATTTTTACTGACATTAAAAGTATGGAAAATTACAAATTTAGAAGCACCTTTTCAGTTGCAAATTTCATTGAGTTATCGAGAGATGCACAAATTCAAATTGATGCTGCTTTAAGTGAAATGGAAGCCATGGATTATAGAGATTGGGTATGTATGTATGCAAAGTGAAAAACAGAATCAAGTAATGTCAATCAACTTCATTTTATTAGAATGAAGATCCTATGGATTGTCAAAGACTGTACACAATATTAGGTAGTTGTATCTATCACAAACATTATCTTCTTGGCTCTCATTTAACGCATAGTGATTTCATTGAAGTGGACTCGTATCTCCGACAAAATTGCCTTCTAAATTTAGTAACAAAGGAATCCGTAAAGAATCTGGTTATTTGGAAAAAAGTTTATCCGTCATCGTGTAATCAAGGAACGTTAAATAACAGTAAAAATACCCAGCCACTAGTTCCTAATGGAAAATGGTTTTTACTTGTTGTTGGCTTTGGACATGACTTATTAGCAGTCCTTTTGGAATCTGGTGGATGCACTGCAAAGTAATGATGTCATTGTCTCTTTGATGTACCTTATCATTTCAGTCTTATACATATAAAATTAATGAAATTACTACTACTTTTATGAATATAGATATACTGAAAGTAATGGTCCAGATATATTTTATGTGGAAGAAGCTCAAGAAACTCTAAAACATATACAAAAAATTGGAGTGACAACATTAGCTGCTAAATGGATTGCATCTAATACAAGACCAGAAATAATACCTAATGAAGATCATGTACCCACAAAACTATCATCTAGTATCACAGAAAACTTTTTAGGTCTTATAAAATCAACTGATATCCAAAGTTCACCCACGAAATCGTCTCTTGCTTTAATTACCAGCAAAAAAACTCAAGAAATACCATCTATTTTAAAAAAACGTAACACAGAAGAGAGTCCAATGGTCTTAGGATCTGGTAAATAAAAACATTAATATTCACTGTTGTCCGATACAAATAATAATATAATAAAATACTTTATAGTGTATTCTTTGCATACATCGGAAGATTCACTAAGCCAAGGAACAGGTGGAGTTAGTGAAATAAGTGATGAAGCTATGCCTATATTAGGAAGACGAGCGACAAGAGAGAAGATTTCTAGTGGATCGAAATATTCTGACGATAGCGACTCTGACATTGATGTATATAAAGTAAGTAAAACATTATTAACTGTGGATTCAATATTTATTTTACTGAAAAAATAATTTGCACAAAATACATTATTACAGAATGACTGTCGAATGTTAAGTACAGATATATCTAATATACGAGAGAATCTATTGACTCAAGCTGATTATTTGACACCAAAGATATTAACAACAGGTGATAAAAATTATTTATATCACTATGTGCATTTAGATATGGTTGAAGGAATTCTCCTATCGTCTGAGCCATTAGAAAGTTCAACAAAGGATCACAAGATTCTAGTTAACTTTAACAAATGTGTTCACATGATACATAGACTTTTACATAATGCAGTAAGATTTAAAAAATTGATGAATTCAGACATAGATAAAACTGTAATTAATAAGAGTTTAATTGCTGTTAAAGAACATGGTGTGCTATTTGAATGGGACAACATTACTTATTGGGTTGTTGGACGACTATATACAACTCCTCATCCAAAGGAGTTGTATGTGTGTTATCAAGACTCTGCACCTCAAAATTTAATTGAAATAGCATTCAAATTACATTCACTACAAACATTAAGTTGAATATTTTTATTCTGTTTACCAAACCAATAACAACTTTCATTTATGACATATATCAATCTCAAATTTTATAAAGACATTTCTTTAGACACATATCATTTTATATTTTTATTTTGTACCAACTGTGTCACATTTCATACATAACTTATATTTTATACCTACAAATTTATACAAAATATTCCTTATTGTTTACACTATAGTACCTTACTTATTTACGTTAAGTATTCACATACCTACAAATATTTTAAAAATATTTTTCATAATGTATGAAAATAGTATAGTCCATAGTTTTTAATAAACTTTTGAATAAAAGTCTACATAATTTCTTTTTTTTTTAATAATTTTTAATATTTTCTCTTATTGTAAACTTATATTAATCCATATATGATAACATATTATTTTCATCATCATCATACTTTTGTAGGGTAGGAATTTTTATATACACACAGGCACCAGTCATTTTACTCCCATAATGGCCAGCCCAAAATAATCGATCTATACCTCCATGATAAAATGAAATCTTCCTGAGACCAGGTCCATAGTTTGAAAACTCCTTTGATATCTATTTAAAGTAAAAGTCAATTAACTCTATCAACTGATATTTTACTAGTTATTTGTATATTCTGTGTGTGTGTGTGTGTATATACATACATAATGCCACTGATTTTGTTTTTCTCCGTCAATTCTATCATGAAATTGAAAAGAATCCAAGATCTGATCATTTTGATTTATTAAGCTTGCTCCACATTCATAAATAGCTGGACAATCCCATCTACAACTGTACCACTCACTCACCTTTAGGAAGAAAAATTGCATTATATGAAAAATACTTTTAATATGTACACTGTTACAGAAGATTTTACAATACCACTATTGGAGGTTGTAAATTATCCAAAACATATGGTGTCAGACCTTCGTGTTCCAGATCAATCTCTTGTGCTTTAAGGCACTGATGATAGGAAGTAACAAAACAGGATTTCTTACCCTCAAAAATGGGTTCACTGCTTGGTAAGGGTGGAACACCTTGTGGAGGATTCTCTACTGTCCACCGATCACCACCATCTTCTAAAATTTTCCAATGCGTTTGTATTCCATGTTCTCCACAGTTATTTTTTAACAAATTTCTTTCAAAAGGTTTTTTTTTACATATGAAGTAATACACTTGCCAAGGTACATCTTTACTTAATAAAAGTGATCGACCAAGGGAAAGTTCGGCCTTCTTGCGCCAAACATAACTTCGAATTAAAATTTCCCAACGTTTACACACTAATTGACAATTTAATAGAGATTTATAATCAACGTAAATAAATATTTGCGTCAACAATTCTCCGGGTAAATATTTATCGGCAAGAACCAGTCCATTGTCACTTTCTTCATCGAACTCTATGCGTGTACTCATTTTACTGTCATGAAATTGTCCCATTTCTATCTATGAACGAGTACGTCACACTGAATTGACACGCGATTTAAAATAAATATTGTTATCTCCAAAAGTATTTTTCGTCTTCTATTCACAATTTTAAAGATTAACATAAGTTTTAAATTTGACAACGTTAGCACGAATTACACTGCATGATCCTTGTGCGCATACTTTATTAGAAATGAGTCACTATGTAACCTATTACGTGTACGATCGTAAGATAACTACTAGATATGCACTTTCCTCATATTTTATTCAATGCGTCTGTATATCTTAATAAGATTCACATTTACAAAATATTATTTGTTTATTCAAATACTTGATAAATAGATAATCTGTATGATTTTCGTGATTAAAATGTCATACGAACTCAACGAAATCCATCATACATCGGGTAGTTTTATGGATTACCGTAACGATATATAGGTATTTGTATGATTATTTTAACGGTACTCTTACACACCACATTTCTCGTGTATCATTTTATTTCGAGTAAAAGAACTTTATTTTCTTTTATACGTATGTCTAATGTTTAGAATAGAGTTTCAAAGTTACTACAAACAGATTAAGAGTAAATAAATAAAAGTGTCATAGGATAAACAAAGAAGGTAACATATATTAGAAGAAACGTCTTTTTATTTCCTTTATAGTATTATATATTTAGTGTTAATGGGTAAAACACTCAATTGAAGGTACTTAAAGGAAATAGGTACGTGGTTTCCGCACACTAAATAGTGGCATACGATTCCTGTGATGAATACGTTTTGGTAATGGGAATCTAATTTTAGAATCGTGAAATTGTTTAACTTGTGGCCTCCTACAGTTTGCTGCCTTTACAACTTCTACTTTGATAATTTGGATTGAGTGTGCACGAGCACGATGACGAGCACCCATATCTCTATAACATTGTGTTACAGCACCACTGACAGAAAGATCTCTGTATTCTCTGTACATATTATGGGTTCCAGACCTTGAATCATATCTTAACCAGATTCCAAAATTCTTAATTTTGACAGGAGTTTTCTCTGAAATCTAAAAAATAATGTATTAAATTTTTGAAGTTTATATATATATATTATCATTCAATAACTATAGTTAATAGTTTTTAGTTTGTTATTTACCTTCTTAAGAGATACAATTTCTCCAGTAGACTTCTTGAATTTTTTGAGCTGACGCAGGAAATACCAAAATCTGGACTTTGCAACAATAGCATCAGGGGCAAATATTCTCATCTTATATAAAGGTGTGGTTTTCTCCTTTTCAGTCGGCAATTTGCGACCGATTACTTCGAACTCCTTCAACTGTAAAGTACATTTATTATTTAGTGTAAGCAAGTTTTTCAAAAATTTTAATACATGTGATTAATTATGACATATAGAAAATAGCTAGAACTCTTTCACAAAAATGTACTCTGTTTATACAGATACAAATAAAAATTGATCTACGTTGATATCTATTTTATTCTATACACGAATTTAATAAAACATGATTAACGTTGAAACTTCTGAAACGATTCGGACATGTGTCGGTAGTTAGATAGGTTAAGTCGATATTAATACGCTCCATATAACTTTACTTCAATTATTTTACATAAATTTTTACACCATATAAGATTAAAAATTGATAGAAAATCTTTTTTGCCAGATAAACTTATAACTTTTTCATTAGAAATAATAATATTTACTTACTTCACCCTTAGCTTTCATTGTGCCGTACGTATAATACCACGATACACCGGAAAAAGATCACGCTACCTTCGTGCTAGTCGGAAATGCGGCCATTTACGTTTTGAATATACGAGACATGTACATATTCTGCCACATTTTACATTGATAAAAGAAAACAACAAAAATTAATTTTAAACGAAAATTCTTTCACTTCATTAATGCTTAATATTGTTTATTTACTACTTGAATTTAACATATATAATGTTAAGGATTTTTTGTGTTATCTATGAAACTATTTAACACGATGAACAATATAAAGCAAAATGTCACTGTTGAACGTTATTGTTTTCAGTTAGAATAAATACATAAAATATTGGCTAGAATTGTCGTCTAACTTTTATTGAGCACAATTATAATTACAATTTCATTAACATGTATAACTTAATGTTGAGGCATTGTAGGTTCTCATATACGGTTATACAGTTCTTGTAAATCATACATAATATGTTTCGTGTGAGTCGAAAAGTATTCCTATTATAAAGACATTTTACGTCCTTCAATAGATATATCCACAGCTCTTCTAGTTCCTTTGATCCTTTTGTTATCTATGTAATTTTTCATATGCCTTTCGAATCTATTCATTTGCTTCTTGGTACTCTGTGAAAATAATAGATTCGTTGTTCTAAAAACTGTTCTAATGATACCTATATGTGGAATAATTATATTTACCCTGCTAATATCGACATCAGACTTCCAATCTGGCCTTACAACATAATCTTTATTAGAAGGTCTAGGAACCCTGGCTCTTCCAACCCAGCCAGGATCACCTGGTCTTAGAGGTCTAAGAATAATGAATTTATTAATATTTCTGTAATGTTGATTAATTTATACGATAACAGACTATTAAATCCATACTTAGCATCTCCTTTCAGAGCTTTATTTATGTCTTGTGATTTTTGAGCAGAACTACCATCCTCGCTTTTCCTTCTTTTTTGAGGTGTTTGTTCTAAGTCCCTTTGCATTCTTTCTTCCTTTGACAATGCTTTGAAGTCGGCCGACAGATTAAATATTGGACGTGCCCATTCATTAATTAATTTACCTGCACGTTCTTTGTTCTCTTTAGTTTCTTTCGGATGTTTGTAAAGATACATTACAGCTTTGCCAATGCCTGATTGTTTTAAGGAAGACTGGTCTATCCTTGGAAACTGAATATAAGTTTACTTACATATATGTACATAACGTTACTGTATGCTATATAAGTATAAATATTATTTGGATACCTACTTCCCACAAAAGCTTTAAAAGACTGTCTCTGATTTTTAAAGAAGGTAAAGATCGATCGGGCATTGGAGCCAACCAATCCGTTAACACTGATAATACATTGTGTTCCAAAAATGCCAATTGAAGATCATGTTTTTTAAGTTGCGATAATACTTTCGGTAACATAGCTATTTTATTAGTAGCAGGTTTATTTTGTTGATTTAATTTTCTGTCTTCTTCTGATGCAGTCCTCATGTCGGATAAAAGTTGCGCTATAATATCATCATTATCATTAATTATATCGATATCTTTTCTTTTTCGTCTTCGTGATTGTTCTTCTTTCTTACGCGCTAACATACGGTCGAAATCCGACAGAGCATCATCCCTGAAAAGTAAAACATTTCTTACTGTAGTTCATTTTCATGAGTGTTTGTTTATGCAATCATTTCTCTGATATTGCTTAAGAATCTCTGGTTATAATGTTAAGTATGCCCTACAGAATTATTACTTACAGATATCTGCTACTCCTGTTAAGCGTACGTTACAAACAATATATATTAGTGTTACAACATATTACTTCGAAGTCTTCATTTAAATGTTTAGAAATTCATTAACTTACATTCCTCCATCTGCGATAATACCATCGTCGGAATCTTCGTTTTCTTGCTGCTCAATAACTGTACCATCTTCGAGTTGTTTATTCTCTTCTTGTTCTTCACGTCCTTCCTCCTGTTCATCTTCATCCTTCTTCTTTTTTGCTGATTCCTCGTCGCCTTCATTTTCGGAGTCCGATAATCCATGCTTTGTTTTTTTGGTTGCCTTAACTCCATCGTCATCTTCTTCGGAATCAGAAAGAACTCTGCTTCTTTTCCTAATACCACCTTCAGAATCCTCGCTGCGACTTCTTGATCTTCTAGACTTCGATAATGAACGAGACCTTGATCTTGATCGCGAAGAGTGTCTGGATCCAGCGAGTGATCCCGATTTCGATTTCGAACGTGATCTTGAACGAGAATGTGTTTTAGAACGCGATCTTGACTTTGATCGCGAACCTGAACGAGATCTCGAGTGGGATTTTGATTTTGAACGGGATCGTGACTTAGAATGCGATCTTGATCTTGATTTCGATCGCGATCCTGAACGCGATCTAGAACGCGACGCTTTTGAACTGGACCGAGATCTGGATCTAGATTTTGATGATCTCGAGGAAGACCGTGATCGAGACCGTGAACTTTTCCTTGACACAGGGGACTGTGATCCTTTGCGTGATCCTGATATCGATCTTGATTTTGATCTTGAAGCTGACTTCCGGGAACCAGATCTGGAACGTGACCTAGATCGTGATCCTTGCCTTGAACCTGATGGTGTCCCCGACTTTGATCGTAACGAAACTTTAGGTTCTGCGGAAGGCGATCGAGACAATGATCCTCTCCGTGACGTTGCAGGTGATTGTTTTCTTGATCCTGATCTGGATCTAGATCGAGATTTTGATTTATGTTTTCCATCTGGGGAATTCGCAGGCGATTTGGAACTTTTTTGGGAACTGGGAGAACCTTTCCTTAAATTATCTATTGATTGGGATTTTGATCGCGAACGGGATCGAGAAACTTTAACACGAGATGGAGATGAAGATGGAGATGGCGTCGGAGACGGAGAACGCGACCTTTTTTTGTCATTTGAAGGAGATCTGGATCTACTATGTGATTTAGGTCGGGGACTTCCTGAACGGGATCGGGATTGAGAACGAGATCGACCTTGTGAAGATCTTTGCGAACCTGATCGAGAACGAGACCTAGCAGGCACTTTTGGAGAACCGGAGGGGGAGCGAGAACGTGACTTAGAACGAATGGATCGGGAAGGAGATCTAGATGGTGGGTTACTTCGTTTAGCTGAAGTCGATCTGGATCTAGATCGTGAATTCTGTCTAGATGCTGGATTCGAACTTTTTCTGGATTCTGCTACTGAAGAACTCCGTGATCTCGATCGTGATTTTGTTGAGCGTACTGAACGCGGTGACTGCGATTCACTTTGTACAATTTTTCCATCTTGTTCTGGAGTAGGAGATTTGGAAGGTGATTTTGAAGTACTTCTCCTACCCGCAGATTTTGAACTGGATCTAGATGACGTTTGATTTTTAACAGAAGAAGGTGACGCCGATCTATTTCTTGTTGGTGTTGGCGAAGGAGATCTAGAGTATGACTTTCTGGAATTAGCATTAGAATGCACTGAAGCTGGTGACCTTGGTTGTGCAGGAGATGATTGGTTTGATCTGAAACGATATAAAAGTTTATAAAGATTATGCTATATTATAAGTAATATTGCTTATTTATTTTAATAAAAATGAATGTTTTTATTAGCTTTCAACCTAGGAGAACAACTGGCAGAGTTTGTCTTCTTTCTTCTAACAATAAAATAATTGTTACAATTATTTCCAAGTATATTATACAAATGGAAACAGTAGTGTTTATGAAAAACAATGTCTTCGTATACAGAAAAGCAAGCATTTAAATATGTACTTATGTATAACATATTATTGTTATATGTACTGTCATTGCACACTAATTTCTGAAGTCCATATTATATGAACTGAAAGAAATTTAAAAGGTATACTCTACCTTCGCGATTCATTGTAATTATATACAAATATACACCTTGTTACTAAAAATTATCACTTATTTTTTCTCTAAGACAACAAAGGTCGATGATCTATTCTTGAAGGCCCGCTAAATTTTTAAATAACCTTTTGTTATTAACAATAGATTAGGATCGACAAACATGCTCGTAGGAAATATATTTACGTTAAACAATATAATATAATAAATGAAGAGTATTCACACGAAACACGCGTGATTGGCCATTTCAGATTTAGCTTGAAACTTTGTCAGGTTAGACGTTTAGAATCAACCAATCGCTATATTTCGTTAATTGAATGAACTTGTATCACAGGCATTTACGACCGTAAATGTATGGCGGTTAAATGTTTTTACGAAAATTGTCGAATACAGTTACTCTTGTAACTTTCAGCGTTTACATAATGTTCTGGTTAATATTTGTGTAAAAGACTTGAATAATAACAAATGCACATTATTATTAAATGAAGAATAATTAATAGAACTATCATGAAATTTGGAAAATGAGTTGTGGGTTTGCTTTCTATTTTGCATATATCCCATGATCAATTCGAAAATGACCGAGCATCACCGAGTTTCGTCGAATGCGCTGAAAGGAGAACATGGCGGCCGTGGCAAAGTTTTCACCATCCGTATGAGATTCGCGTTGTTGAAAATTGTTCGGTTGACGGTTTAAGTAAAGTGCACAGTGAGCCTAGCTGGTGGAGTCACTTCACCGAGATCACCAGTGAAAATATTCGTTGGTGTGGTGGCACGTCGAAACGGCCTGATGCGGGTCGCGTGTAAGTCTCGTAACGCAAATCATGACTTCGATGCTGTCCAGCTTTAACCCGCCTATCGTAAAACGATTATTGGGTTGGAAGAAAGCCGAGGGAGAGGATAAATGGAGTGAAAAAGCTGTGAAAAGTCTGGTGAAAAAATTAAAGAAGTCGACCGGTTTGGAAGAACTTGAGAAAGCTATTACTACGCAAAGTTGCAACACCAAGTGCATCACTATACCAAGGTACGCTCGATTTACCTACACTTTGCGCATGCATAGATATCATGATCTCTCCAACCTATTGTTTTCTCTTTTTGGTGATCCGTTTTAGCATCTACTCCGTGACGTAACGTAACGGGTTTTATCGAGATTTCACGTTCTGCATTCGCCGCTGTCTCTATCCCCTTCGATAAAACTCCATGAAAGAGTAGCATGTATATGTATGTGTGTCGCGTGTATATCGCGTGTATGTTTATAGTGCCTGTTCTTCGTCCTTATTTACCTATCCACGTATTCGTGCGTATAATGTCACGCCGTCTATCCATTTGACGTTTCTCTTTCACTGCATTCTATGGAGAGGAGATGGCTTTCCGTTCTTATTAACGGATCACGGGATCCGGTATCGCGATGATTTCTATTTTCGTATATTTCCTCATAAACGTTTGGCAATTTGTTACATCCATTATTTTGTATCGCGATCGAATCGTTCAATAAAAGAATCACTTGTACCGAAACTTGTTACCTTTCGTATCGTTACATCGGTTCAACCGTAGTATTGTATTTCGCATCTAGAGGATTAACAATTTTATTGAATCGTGTGGAGTAAACGCTTAGGAGTGCTCAACGAAATTTAATTAATAAATGTTCTGTATTTTTGCTCGTTTTAAATCTGTAAATTTATAAATAGAATATCTTTTAAATCGTTCGTAACAACTGATGCAGCGAACGATGGTAGCTCTTGGTGTTCAATAAGTTCTCTGAAAAATATCACCAGTGTTATAAATCATCGGAGTTTTGGTTTTCGATGTTTTCTGAGCACCGTTTATCATACAATTAGATTTCACTTGCCGTCATCAATTTCCTACGTCTACTCGAGTCGGAGCAATAACAATCATTTCGTTTTCAATCAGTCATCAAATCAAACATCAGTCAAGCGGGTGTTTTGGTCGGGTTGTTATACCGTCGTCGATCTTTTATTTTTAATCGCAAATTATTCGGAGGACAATTCGGACCGACGTCAGGTTTCTCGTTGAGATGATCATTTTCTCTCCGACTAGTTCGCGGCAGATTAATGGGCTTAACGTTACGTCAGTATTTTCCTTTTAATGCGACAGTTGTGTGTCGCGATTGCAGCTTGTTATCCCGGCAATTACATAACAATCTTAACGAAAAAATTATCGGGGCTGAGGGATCGAACGATTCTGCAAAATGTGGAGAAATGTTGCAGCCGCGTTTCGGATCGGAATATATTTAATTTAATTTAATTTAATTCATACGGGTGAACACCCATTTTTACAATATGTGATTTAAAACGTTTCGACACACTAATACAATATTCATCAAATGAGGTATAGTGAGATATAACAATTATAAGAATAGAATTCAGATAGATATAAAAATACATTGGTACTCAACCTAATAATGATAATAACTATGCTACCCTATCATAGAAAACACTTTGTAATTCAGACCTAAATTTATTTATGTTAGGCGCGAAAATGTCATATATAACAATTAATGTGTGCATCGTTCATTTTAGTTTCGAAACACCGCGACATGAATGAAACACGTGCGCGTCACGTTCTGCCGGATTCGCACGGCGCGAGACTTGCCGAGAGTCTGGAAGCAGTCACGTATAACATTCGTTTCGATTGTTATAGATTATAGAATATAGATATATGTATGTATGTATGTATACGCGACACTGCCGTGCATCGTCGCTTTCTTTCCAGTTTCCGGTGCGATCTCCTCGAACCGATGTTACTTCTATCATTTCGTCTTATTACGATTTATTCATTAATTCCTGATCTAGCTTTCAATAACTGTCTAGCTGTACTATGACGTTGGGTATATGTATGCACAATGGTTTCATTTCAACAGTTGATTTTCGTTGACATTTCTACGTACACATTTCGACGGTAGCGAAGGAAAAGTGTAATTTCACAATTATATACTACATACACAAGCCCATTAATTGTAGTTTCAATACATTATTATGTTCTAATGTTATCATACAGAAAGCCACATGTTTATCTCTGCCCTTATCACGTTGTTTTTGTTTTATCGGTAAATGAATATCAGTAAATACTAGCTGTACAAAAATGATGGGGATATAGTTAAATACAAAATAATGAACGTACTTATATAAAAGTATCGATTATAACCATTGTTTCGACCGCCTTTTGCATGACCGTCAATGGCGTTTCGCATTGAAACGATCAGTTCAACGTGCATCGTAGAATCTTGGGAAAATCTTCCTTATTCTTCTATTTGCCTGTTTAAATTTAAAGCTGGCATGTTCTATCTTATCTGCAGATTGCATGTCGTAAACTTTGCGCATCGCGTAACGAAATAACGCGAAGGAAAATACTATGCGAACGGAAATGTTTCAGTTCATCCGCAAATTTTGTCGTAAGGCATCAACCCGTAGTAGAGGTTCCCGATCGAAATTTTCGCGAATTTACCTAATATATGTCGCATTGTTTCTGTAGTAAACCCGCGTGTATCGGTGTTGTGTGCGGCAGGGTACGTACCTCGTAACATCTTTATCAATAATAATTCCTAGGAACGTTGTCGCGCGCGTCCAAGGATATTCGCAGGAGAGAGGGAAAAAAGTCTGTCATCGAGAAAGGCAGATCCTTGAGTATATGTACCTCGGAACACGTTCGTTCCGTCTCTAATGTTTCACGATGCGACTCTGAATATTTCCTATCAAGCTTATCTATCGTTCGCGACACCGGTACCATTGGCGTTGGGCTAACGTGATTCGTTTATTTGTTAACGATCACCGTTTCAGTCGATAGATACGCAGGCGATCGTTAATCGGTTCTCGATTTCGAGTCGAATCTTTGCTTTTTTTTCCCGTGATCGCCGATCACGATGCCGAGTTCTTCCGAGAATACGTACTTCGTTACGTCTTCGCGTTGCGTTCGCGGAACACCGATAAGATAGATGGTCGACGGCATCCAGGATCTACCTGAACCATCCTCAACTTTCCTACGAAAAGAATTTCCATGGTGTTGGACTGCTCGAGTTTCAGGTATACATTATTTATATCCTTATGGATCGCTCCGGTTCTTACAACTGGTCCAATCGTCCACAGAAGCCACGTTAGCGAAATAAACCGCGTTACTATCGATTTGCTTGGCGAGATATTCCCGAACGGTAACCGAGGCTAATTGACGTTCACGTAACAGAATCGACGCAGCAACGAGTATTTACATAGATATAGACGGGCAACGAAAGAGAATCGTGATTTATGAAAGGTGGAAGTTACTTAACCGTCGTTGTTAGTTTTGTGCGAACGTTCTGCTTTTTCGTTTGTTCGCCGAAAAAGTCGAACGGACGAAAAAACGAAATTCTACGCTGCGTTAAACCGAGCACGTAACGATACATCATTTTCTGTAATTATTTTCGTTATAGTAGGCGACACTGAATGGATTCGAAATCGAAGTGGAAAGTATTGTTTATCGTGTTAGGTTCGTTCATTTTTCTTCTCGTTATAGTAGGCGACACTGAATGGATTCGAAATCGAAGTGGAAAGTATTGTTTATCGTGTTAGTTTCGTTGATTTTTCTTCAGCCTTCCAGTTATCTTTAGTGTATCTGGCAACGAAGGTCGAAGGTAGCCGCAGTGTATTTTTCGTAGTTTCCACCGTAATCATGGAGAAACGATTTCCAAGAAAGATCGTACATCGGGCAAAATGTTCTCCAAACATCGACGACGATCTCATTCGGTCTGGTAGCTTTAAAATTATTCGGCGCAAGGTCTTTTTGGGGGGGGGAAAGAAATGTGAGAGTAAACGGTGCAAGGCGACGAGATATTTTCTATGGGAATAGCCGATTAAATTCGATTAAATCGCGGTTTTCGTTTGATGCATACGCGGAAAGAATTTCACCGTTGACGCGACTTTCCGTCCTCGAGCAGCCAATGCTGTGTCAGCCGAATGACTAAGTTGCAGGAGAAACTAGACCGCGGATCACTCCATTACTTTATTTTCTTCAGACTATTTATCACGCGAATTTATCCTACATGCCGGATAATTTTCAATTATCGATAAACGTAAGTACATCGATGTACTCGTGACGCGATATGTTTGCATTGGGACCATTCGATCTAGATGTTCATTTCAGGGGGATTCTTGTCGTTTAATATTACGAGTGATGTTAATGAACTATTGAAACGTTCAATTGATTCTCTTATTGATACCCGCGTTTTATATCGTCCGATTCTGACCACGCAATCGGTGCTCGTCACACACAAATCCGTGAATATCGAATTGCAGTGTTGTGCGATTCTGATCGAGGGTCACGCGTATACGTGACAGAAAGACCCAGGTAAAATGGAGAGGAGGAAATGGAGGGCACAGGAGGGAAAATCGCTCGAGTGGAACGACAGAAAGGAAAAGGTCGGAGGCTGCCGTGGCACGAAAACATCGAACGGAGGATCGCGAATCGATTGACTGAGATCGTTGGAAATTCTGAAAGTGGAGGATTTGTGGAATCGACGGAAATTGTGAGGGTTTCTCGGATGATCCTGTCGAGGATCATCGGTCACTCGATCGTTGCGTAGCTGGACGCGGTTAATCGATATCGTGTACTACTTTGTGCGATCGTTTCTGCGGCTAGATCCTCGGACAGAACGATCCACTCGACTAAGTCAAGCGAAAATATCAGTTTGGAGTGAAACGTGCTAATGTTGGAACGTACCGCTGAGGGAACGAGTATTCGAATTTCGATGGACCATCCTGCATCGTTACCTATCGTTCAATTATTTCCCATCGGAGAACGAAGGAAACGCTGAAGATGCACGTGCATACGTTTGTCGATTCCTTTTTGCCATTAGGCGCCAGCACTTCCGGCGTGGCAGACGCGAGCGCAGAAGTCGGTGGAGCAAAAGAGATGAAGGGATGTCGAGATCAAGCTTAGTTTAAACCGGTAGGTTTACGACAACCGTTGAATTCGCTCGGCATCGTATCGGTTTGTTTGGCCGAACGTAAACTTCAACGTTTCGTCGACGGTATCGACGGTATGGTCGGTGACGATAGACACAGTCGTCGGAAGACGACAGGGCTTCAGCGGTCGCGTTTCCGGTTCCATGAATAATGTTGTAACGCAGTTAGATCTCGCGCGGGGCAAGTTTTCGCCGGATCGTGTTGGGGCATGTGAAAGATTGCGCGTGAAGTAACTGCGATTCTGGTTCGAACGATGGAAGAACAGTAGACGGTAATCGGTTCGCATTGTTTACACAAAAGGCCTAGTCCCGGCGGTGTCGGCGACAACGGTGTCCAAGGAGTACGCGGTAAAGGTCTGCCGCACGTGATCTACTGTCGACTTTGGCGCTGGCCGGACTTACAGTCGCATCACGAGCTAAGGGCGATCGAGCACTGCGAGTACGCGTTCACGCAGAAGCGGGACGAAGTCTGTGTAAATCCATATCATTATCAACGTATACAACCACCAGGTAGGTGACTCGTTCGTTTCGCCGAACATTTATCCTCGCGATCTATCAATATAAATTGGAATATACGGGCTGTCGCTCGCCGATTATACGTTTATCCGTAGTACACCGCGCGGTTGTTTTCAACTGACTTGATCAGTCGGTGGAAATGTTACGCTCATTAGCAAACCGATCGAACGATCGCGCGACTACTGACATACGAAATTTTGCAGTTTTGCCGGCGATTCTCGTGCCGCGACATAACCTGGCTGGGGACGAACCTGTTCTCTACAACACCTCACTCGAGGAGCTCAGCGTCAGCGTACCGGAGAACACGAACTTTCACGCGACGTTGAATCATCAGCATCACAATCAACAGAGTATACCGCAATCTCCACAGCAACAGCAGCAACAACAACAACAACAGCAACAGCAGCCGAATAATCCGTATCAAGGAATGCAGGTTAACGACCCGTCCGATTTCTTTTTTCTTACTCGCATATCACGTGCCGAAACACCTATACGAGGTTTAGCCAGACAAATGATTTTTGTTTCTTTTCCAGAGCATACAAGCTACCAGTCCAGCGAGTGTGGGGAGCCTAGGAAGCGTACAGGGTTCACCGCATCCGGCGCCTGGATCTATGGATCCTCCCGCGGACACACCCCCTCCGGGCTACATAAGCGAGGATGGCGACAACATGGATCACAACGACAATATGTCTTTGTCGCGTTTGTCACCTAGCCCCGTCGACGCGCAACCGGTGATGTATTGCGAGCCTGCCTTCTGGTGAGTTTCAAATCCGTTCATGGACTGTGCCAATTTTTTTCGTTATTATATATATATATATATACGATTAACGGTCGATAATAAGGATCGTAGTCTCAAGCTTCATTGAAAATATCGTATCGTTTTGTTCGTTTTGGTTCGCAAGGTGTTCGATTAGTTATTACGAACTAAACACAAGAGTGGGCGAAACCTTCCACGCATCGCAACCGAGCATCACAGTCGACGGATTTACCGATCCCAGTAATTCGGAACGCTTCTGTTTGGGATTGTTGTCAAACGTTAATCGCAACACCGTAGTCGAACAGACCAGACGACACATCGGCAAAGGAGCTAGACTTTACTACATCGGCGGTGAGGTGTTCGCGGAGTGTCTATCCGATTCGAGCATATTCGTTCAAAGTCCCAACTGCAATCAACGCTATGGCTGGCATCCAGCTACCGTTTGCAAAATACCACCCGGTAAGTGCTTCTTTCGTGAAACGAAAATTACTTTCACATGATAATCGAAGTCGATCGGTTTATTTGTTAACGATTCGTTCGTTACGCATTATTCACAGTAGTACCGTGTTGCTTTTGTTCCATGACGCAGGCTGCAATTTGAAGATTTTCAATAACCAGGAATTCGCGGCGTTGTTGTCACAGTCGGTTTCACAAGGTTTCGAAGCGGTCTACCAGTTGACTCGCATGTGCACCATCAGAATGAGCTTCGTGAAAGGCTGGGGAGCGGCATATCGACGACAAACCGTGACATCGACCCCCTGTTGGATCGAGCTGCACTTAAACGGTCCGTTGCAATGGCTGGATAGGGTGCTCACGCAAATGGGTTCGCCACGTTTACCCTGTTCCTCGATGTCATAAACTCAAATACTTGTCACCTTCGAGGATACAGGGACAAATAGAACGATTATAGTAAAAAAACGATTCACGTACTATTGTCATCGTCAGCGACATCATTCAGTGTTATCGTTGATTGATTTTAGTTATTGCGAATTACATCGCTTTCATTCGAATTCTCCGCAGTCATGCATGTTATAACCCGATATGCAAGAAAAGAAGGATACGATCGTTTCTTCCTGCAAAGGACTTATTTCTGCGTCGATGATGCGCGAGACTTGAAGTCAATTTTGCGTTAAAAATACCAGGAAAACCGTACGAGTGTCTACTTGCTCGACCGAAGAAGCAACCGAGTGCTCAAATCCACGGATACTTCGCGGATGTTTCCTACGTTTCGGGAGAAAGAATGGTATGTAAATAACGAGTAATGGAAAAATGCGTTAACAGAGACTGAGTAACTTGAGTAGCAGACACGGAAAATATGTTCATCGACGAAACTGCTAGACAATGTTAACACATTTGTGGCACTTCCGTGAGGTTAGTGCTAACGGTTCAGGGTTATCAATTCGATTCTACGTGAATCGAGGAGTTGGAATATGCAAATGCTCTCAGCCTTTGCATATTTTTATCGCTTGTTAAATCAATGCACTCCAGTCCTATAGTATACGTCAAATCTTACAAGGTAATACATCATATTATGTATATACACACTTAGTAGTCTGCCGAGGAGAATTTTTATGCGATGAACAAACTGCCACTGACTTGTTCGGAATTTTCTTCAATGTTTTTCCTACGAATAAAGAAGCCGGAAGTAATGATACAAAGTTCACGTCTCATGTACGATAACAATAAGTATGGATTACAATGATCAATGCATTTTGTTAACGATTGCACTCTGGAATGCATCAGTAACGTTCAAATCACCTTACGAATGATCGTATCGAATGTGCATACGCGTGTCTCCGTCTACTTCAAAGTTGTTGGAACGGTGAAACTTCTCGATCGAAAAGTTATAAATGTTGCTACGTACTAAGGTGTCTTATCCCGAATAACGGATATTCTTATCAAGAGTAAGCGGTATATTTCTTGACATTGGTACAAGTACTAAGCGCACGAAATCTGTGGTAGACAGTAATACCTTGCGGAATATCGCGGAAGAGAAATCGATGAAAACGCGAGAAACTATATACGTATATCTATTGCGTGTCTAAAAATGTATGCAACGCATAGTAAACATTACGATGTACATATTTCGATGTTAGTGTTAACATAGCGACACGATTGTTAGTCGAAAATCGTTGGAGAAATGTTTGGCGTGTTGTATAGAATGGTGAACGTACTTTGATGTCGAGAGTATATGTTTAGCGCGTAATGAACAAAATTGTCTCGCGAAACTTTCTGCAGAAATTATTTGGAGAAGAGTACGGTATAACGCAGAGAGTTTCTGAGCGATTCTAAGATAAGACAAGATATACGAGAAATCTGTAAAAATACGGAAATTTTATTACGGGTAGAAGGCGAAGTGAAGTTATGGTGTCTGGCCTTGAATATGAGATGATTTTACACGCATTGAGCGTAATTAATTCTATAACGATTTAAATTTATTTACGAATTGTTTGAGAATCGAGCGCAATGGAAGTTTCGATTTTATTGGAGATTTTATCAAACGTATTTCATATTCGAGACAAACCGAAAAAGAAGAAGAGAATACAATTTTTAGAAAACTCGAAACGTCTTTCACGTAGAACCTATGAAAACGAAATAACAAAGTTACGTGTTTTATTATATTATGTAATATATGATAGTACCAAGGTACGGAACAATCTTTGCACCAAGTGCATGGATTCAGTTATCTTTTTCCTTTTTTTCTTTTTTTAATGAATAAAATTTTAAAGATAACATATGCGACTTCTATGGAGTTTTTACGTACGATGGGGGCCAATCGCACGCACAGAATGCGAGATTCGATCTCGACGAAAACGTCAAACGTTTCAGAGAACCGGTTCCTCTTTACATGTACAAAAAAAGTATATATATATATATGTATTACAAATGTGCATACATATATATTATATATTTTTTGTCAATATCGTATGCACGTTTCATTTTTACGCTGTTTGTAATTAGTTCTTTTTTAAATGTTAAAGATTTGCAAGTGAAACGATACGCATCGCTGAGCGCGAGCTAATTTAACTGGATAACGTACATGGAATCATGTGAATTAGGCAAGGTAATGTAAAACAATCGAGCGGTTTCGTTAAATAATTAAAGCCTAAGGTAACGCAGAGTCGTCATTAGTTATTGCGAAAACAAGATCTATTTTCTTATTATCGTCATCATCTTTTCGACAAGGGAAGATTCACTAATTGATTCATTCATTGGCCGATTATAGGTAACATCTGTTATCTTTCAATGTATTTTCTACAAATGCGATACAGTTGATCGTAATTTATTGTTTTCTTTTATACGATAGATATGAACGTATAATATACATTTTTTTACGCAGTACAATCAAGAAATAAAAAATGATATTACCACGTACATACATACCGAACCGTAACGATGACAATTCGTAAACTTGCCAGTCGACCGACTTCCGCCGAACCGACATTATGTTCGAATATTCGATTGTACGTCATGTTACGTGTTGCCTAATATCTATGAGAGAATGTTAAAGGGAGGACAAGCTCGGACAGTAGGTAGCGATGAAAGTGTGTACTAGACGAACTACGAGACTGAAAGGAACAATGTCGATATTTTATTGACGTTTTGATAGTTTAATCGTGTAACGTAGGAGCGCGTTGGTCTTTCACGAGGATATTTCTTTTCTGTTTTCAGAAAATAGACATTCTCAGTATTTCGTGTGCTAGGAGCGCCTCAAGCGTGGAAATCGAAAGAATCCGGATATACAACTCGCGAAAGGCGAACGCGACATCGTCGGGCAGCTCGAATAATCACATAGTAGTATGATCGACAAAAATTACAATATATTCCCTTCATTGAGTACCCGGATCTGCGACTTTTTTTTCCAAACCCTTTGTGCAATCTTTAACAGATTCAAAAGCACGTCGAACATACTGTTTGCTTGTTGAACGGTCGCCAATCACTTGCCTCCCTGTCAGACTGCCACTAATTAAGCAAACACGAACAGGGTGGAACCGAAGAAATAACGAACAGAACTTTCGGTTTATTGATTTTACTTACATTTTAGATAAAAAAAATTTGAATAATAGCGGTGACTCGTTGCGTAGTATCCTCTTTAACTTTTACTTTGTTCGTTTTACGTTACCATAAGATTAAACACAGACTCTCCATTCGCGTTGGCGAAAGAACAAACAGCTCTATCTGGAAAACGCGTTTTGTTTGCCAAAGTATTTTTTAAGTGTAGCATTTGCCAAAGTTTCTCCTAAGTACAAGAATATATTGATTATATAGCTGCGATAGGCAATCTGAACGCGAAGCGGACATTACTTCGTAAAATTTTCAGCGGTGTTGCTTCTTTCGGATAAATGTTACCATTGTTGATTGTATTGTATCGTTAATACTGTCGTTATGTTACTTCTTCTTTTTTTTAGATATGTTTTAGCATTCTAAACTTGTCGAATCGAGCGGTCCGACGATTATGAACTTTTTACTTCTATAGCTACTTATACATCTATATTTATTACTTGTGTGCGAATGCCGTAATGCACACGAAGGGAAGGATCGACTAATGAATAACTTTTAGAATTCCAATATTTTTTTACAAACAAGAGGAACGTGAAATTCAGTTGCGTAAAGTGCATTCGACTACGGTTGAATCTTGTCGATATTTCCTTGGTGTGGATGAGATCTTTTCTGAGAATACGAGTAGAAATCGAGAACTTGATGGAATGAGTGTGGGAAAATATGGACAAGAAGTTACGACAAGATATATCTAGTGTGAGACTACATAATAATTACAAATAAATATAAACGTTAAGTCCAATAAAAATGATTCTGCCGCTTTTTGTCGCTTGGTCGTTGTAGAAGTGACGTGTTTACAGTTACCACGAATGATATCACTACTCGAACGTATTTGTAACATACATTTTATTACAAATTTGCGAGTTTCTATGTGAGAAAGATAGAAATAAACAGCACTAATTCTACTTGGGTTACACATATCTAGAGTGCAACAGGGTCGTAGGAAGGGTTTCGGGTAAAAATAAAAGAACTGAAAAATTTATATTAGTTTCCTTGTGGAAAAAAATTTGTTCGACTACGATAAAAATGGATACAATCTATGCGAGAATACAGCGTTGCGTTTATATGCTTTCTTGACCATATCTCGTAACACAGTCTAGCAGCACTGTCAAGAGGATCTTGACGGATCGGTCTCGCGTTTAAACGACAAAATTCTTAAAATGAATTTGTACAAATTAACGGTCGTCGAAGATCCTCGAATCACTTCCATCCTTTCCACAGATTCGGCAGTAAAATCTTCCTTGGATGGAAATACTCTTTGGGGAGAATTTCTATTATCGGAAGACGAAAAATTCTTCTCAAAAAGTGCAAACCTATGGATGGATATGCATTGTCTATGCAGAACTGTGTTTCCACATATTCGGCATGCTTCGCGTTAATTCGAGTATCCTCTTCCGCCAAGGATCTTAGCTCACAAACGGTGAGTCTTTTCGCCACGTGCTGAATTCCATGTAATCGAAGCACGAAGATACAATCAATGACATTCTTGATTACAAAAACCTCAGTGTTCGAGGACGCGTTTAGTTACAACTACATTGACTACAAACACGAGCACCTTATTTTGTGTAAATAAGTAAACGATACAATAATCGTGATTTCAGATTACAAGATAGAACGAAGGGAGTGTTAGGAATAGTGCTGCTACGAGGATGTTGGATTTCCGTTGCGAGTGTGTTCCATTAAATATTCGACTCGGATGAACCATTTTTAACGGTTTTCTTCTGTTCGTCCGGACATTGAATTGTTGTTGCTTATTTAAATAGAGGCTGTTACAAACGGCCCTGGTGTTTCGAGGACAACATTTTTTTCACGGAGAACATGCTCATCGATAGTCCGACGGTAGCGAGGATAAACGCTGATTTGGTAACGTTGCGTTCGGCTACGTTTCTACGAAGTGTGGATGACACTGCTCCCTGCAACAAGTTCAACTGATTATGGATCGATGCTACAGCCAATGAGGTCTTACAGAAATTGCGCAAGACTGAAACAAATTCTACAAATTGCCAACAACATATAGGCGCGTCTTGCACGAATTCAGGCGCCACTCGGTGCCGCGTGTATATAGGTATGTACTATTACGTAATGCTTTTCTGATCAGGAATGTATCAGTTATACCTGATGAATCGATAACCTGAGAGCATACAGAGTGGCAGGAGTTAGATACATCTCTACACCAGGGCTTTGGCTTCGTACTCTGAAAAGAAAAAGATTAGAAATAATGTTTTTCTTACATAAATAATGGTTGGAATTAACAGATGAAGGACAGGTAAAATTGGAATAAATCCAGGACGGACGATTGTCATAAACAATTGGGGTATCGGCTGCTTAGTGAATTACATATACGGGATGATAAATCCCCGTCACGCCAGACTCTATTTAGTGTATTGTTATCGCGCGGTAACATTTTGGAACAAGTGCTTAATAAAAATGGATTCACAGTGTGAATACCATTGAACTGTCCGATAGGGAACGATAGATTGCACGACTCGATTGAGCAACCAAATACTTTCAACACTAGAAGATCAAGTATATGCGTAGATTGATTTTTCTTCGTTCCTCTGTGAATTGCGACGACAATTGTAATTCGAGGTTACGAAAGAAGCGTAACTCATGCATGATTTTCTCGTCAGGCTATCGTCTATTATTTACTTTTAATCTCGACAAAATATTGCCGGTAATTTCATTACTTAAGTTGAAATAGTGAATTTAATAATATGAAATAAAAGAGGTACCGATAAGTAAACAAACCACTGCCCAAGGTTTTAATAAACTCTGTTGTATCCGATACAACATTCTATGTATATTATGTCTTTATGTAACGATGCACGCTGTATTGAGACAGTGGCGTATACGCATAAGAGAATTTGGTTTCATTCCAGTGTCAAGAGTGCATCTCGTATTTCAAATATATTACTTCAAGGGTTCAACGTATGGCTACCATGTGAAACTAGAGAAACCCATGACTTGTATACGATGCCCATATGTAGGGCTTATCGCGACACGATCGATTATAAGTTATAAGCACTAACCTTTCCCCAGTCGCGACGAACGGGTTAAAAAAAAGCAATATTACACCTGAAAAAGGGTACAAGTCCAAACGTTATCGAACGGAACGTTACAACCCTTGTGCGATTGCATTTTTAATCGTTTCTATCGTTACAATTGTGATCGCATATAAGCACCGCGTCAAATGCATAAAAATAGAGAAACGTATTTTATAATGTCGGGCTCACTTTCAATTTGACCATGTTACATGTCGTGCAAACTTTCGTTTCGGTTAAAAAGATACAAATAAGAAGTTCCTGTATCCTATAAAAGGATGTACAGTATGGTTAAGTTAACCTAAAATGTAAATTAACTTATATTCGTGTCTGAAATGTTCCACATTGTTCCAACACAGAAAAATTTATAGAACAAAAAATGATTCTCTATCACAGATTGCGGAAAATGGTCATATCGTAATTAAATGAAATTTAATAATTCACGAATGTCTTTTTATTCGTCGTTACTTTATATATAAACATTAAGAATTAAAAGACAATGTATTGCTGTTCAATGTAGTCTCTTACGTAACAGCAACACTGTTGATACATTTTATGAGACAAAAGTATTTAAACGACAGTCAATTTAACACAAAATGTGATTTGGAGCAATAGACATACCGTTGTGTGCGAAACTTGCCGATGAAAGAGACAATTACTAAAGGCGCACGTTCCTTCGTCTTCGGTTGTTTTCTCACCACTGTTCGATTCTTCGTTCTTGGATAATTTTTCGACCGTACTACGCCATCTTACGATGGCTGCAGTGCATACACTGCACACTGCACTGCTTACCATCCGATCCAGGTTTGTTTTTTGTACTCATATGCATAGAAATAATTTCTATGTCTATGAGCAAAACCAAGACTTCATATTGTATTCGTATCTTTACTGCTTATACCTTTTTAATTCACTTATTTGTGAAATCTACGCATCGAATTTATTGAACACTCATCGCCTCAAATGTAACAAGCTCCAACCAATTTTAAAATCTATACTTTTAACCTTTTCGTAAATATCTTAAAATATGATTGTTTATTGATTACCATGGATCCTTTATAACGGTGTGAAGATCGTATAGAAGATTTGCAAGTTATAGAAGAGGGAATTATTTGTGAAAGGTAAATTACATTATTTTATTAGCCTGGATATCATCTAAGCGTACTTTTACTGAATCTATACAAATATTATTATAAATATATTGTAAAATCATGTAAATAAGTAGTACTTAAGACAATTGTTGTTAAATTCGGAATGGAATTGGTTTTAAATTTGGAAAATTGGAACTAATTCTGGAACGTTTACAAAAAGTGCGGGAAACAGCAAGAACGCAAAGTGGTGCCATCTGGCGGCGAATACGAGAACTAGAACAAGACGTTTTGGATTTAGTTCTAATTACGCCCACCTGGTGGCTATCATAATTTTAGCAAAATCCCATTTTTGCAGTTTTCCTGCGCTTTTTTGAATTTAAAAAATGATGTATAAGAACAGACGTACTTCCTAATGCAGATTTGTGGCCTAATTAGAAAATTACGATTTAAATCAGTTGCAAGGTTAATCGTAAAAGATGAATACATGTAGAATTTGTGATTCCATCTAATTGTCATCTAACCCCTAATGCATATAGATACACGTAATATGAACGGAATATATAATGCTCCATTCGTGCTAATAATACTCAGAATTCATGCTTACATTAACGTTGTGTATTGTTACTATTTAAAATAATAAGGGGACTCTTCAGGTCTCGAAGCGTTTGACAGCAAATTATAATGGATTTATTATGTATGCATATATATATATCTCATTTGTGCTACTACCCAATTAGTCTCACATTTTTGTTGAAAGATAGCGCCACTCTGTTCCGTGTACAATCTATTTTATAACGAAATTTAATATCAATTAAAAATGTAATAAACAGCAGATGTGAATGAATAATATCAGTGCAGGATACTTCAGTTAACAGTTCGACATTAACGTATGAGAAATTTGATGTAAGATGTCAATTATACACATATGTAATGTATTTACATATACATATATTGTCCTTTACTTAAGTGTGAGACACACACGACGTAAACGGTAATTATTTAATGACGTGTCCAACGATTTATCATTGAATTATTTCCGTGAAATCTTTTATTATTCAGTCGCGTGGTATCGTCGTTACTCATTTTAACACATTTCTTTCGTAAGAAAGAATGTTTGTTCATTGCTCTCAATCGAAGTTACATCAGGCTAAAAATTAACGACCTACGTGCAAAAATAAATTGCACATACATTTTTAGTTTTCACTTTGAAACATATATTTTCTGATCGTCTTATTAGTGGTTCTTGTGGCCTTATCAGCAGCTTCTGGTCACTTTGTACTAAAAGAACAGTTACCTAATGACGCACCGTGTCGTTTTATCTCAAAGTTATTTCCGCGCGATGCCACAATATCCTTTTGAGCCGTCAGTGTCGTCTCGTCTCTTCTAGCCGAAAGTAAATCAGCGTCAGTAACAAAGCAATAATGACGCACTGGTCGGTCCTCTTCCTTTGGATTCAATTGTTTCTGCTGGTGTTTGCCGAGCACAAGGATTCGGAAAGTCTTTGCGCGTCTCAGCAGAGCTGCAAGAGTTGTTTGCAAACTCCACAATGCGTTTGGTGCTCTACCAGGGTAATCACTGCATTTACGTTTATTCATACCCACGTTAACGATTGTATCAAATATAAATTCCGAATCCGACGAATTACGAAACGCTGGACCGAACGAGAGGATTCGTATTAACTCTAACGTTATTTTGATAAAGAATTCGAATTTTTCGAAAATTCAAAAATCTTCGTAGAGTAACGTAAGGTTCCGCGAATATATTTCGGGCTGAGAAGGTTAATAGATTTGATTGTTTTCCACGAAGAAATTAATAAAATGTGGATTATTTCGTTAGGTATCTAACCAAACTATCAACACCCCTCTGGTTCGATGTGTCACCAGAGAAAAGTTTCAAAAGGAAAGCAGTCTTTGGTGTCGATTGTCGGACGTGATTAGTGATGACCCAACCTGGTTGTTACTGGTCGAGAATCGTCCACTATCTTCGACGAAGGGCACGGTGCCCGTTCAAGTACAGCCTCAGAGAATTAAACTACGTCTCAGACGAGGAACGTATCGTTTGGCGTTACCATGAATTCGTGTTTTCGTAGCAAGAAATGTTGTTTATATTGAACCTGTCCATTTACAGGCGAGGAAGTGCGCATAAAATTGCTTTACAGTCAAGCGGAAGATTATCCGGTCGATTTGTATTACCTTATGGATCTATCGTCGTCTATGCAGCCTCATAAGGATCGATTGTCGGAACTGGGGCATGCGATAGCAGAGGCGATGCGAAAACTCACTTCCAATTTTCGTCTAGGATTCGGTAGTTTTGTCGATAAAGTTGTGCTACCTATGACCAGTACGCAGGAGGACATGTATATTCTACTCTTTTTTAACCATCGTCTTATTTTTCCTGTACACAGAAATATTTTCTGTTTCATCTAATTTTCGGACGTTTATGTGACTTTTACAGGTTAAAGTCGCCGTGCACTTTGACAAAGACCGGGAAGCCGTGCGCGCCTCCTTACGGTTATAAGAATCAAATGCCACTTACCGAAGATATATCTCTTTTCAAAGTAATCACATTATACGGTATATTATACAGTTTCGATATTCTGATCCGAATCGATCGTTTTTTTTTCATGATAGACCCGCGTGGAAGAGGCACCTATATCTGGTAACTTGGACTTCCCGGAAGGTGGTTTCGACGCATTGATGCAGGCGATCGTTTGCACCAAGGAAATTCGCTGGCGACCAAATGCCCGACATCTTATCGTATTTTCGACGGACACCGTGTCCCATATCGCAGGCGACGGTAAAGTACGCGTCTACACCGAATGTTCATCTAGAATAGTAAATTTCTAAATCTCTTTGCGATTCCATACGTATTTCATTGCACGGAATACATATGGAATTGGTTTGATACGTATTTCAAACGTATCGTAATTTCAGGTTGCTGGAATCATCGAACCGAACGATTGCCTGTGTCATCTGGACGCGAAAGGATTTTACACGTATTCGCTTCTACAAGATTACCCGTCTGTATCTCAGGTATACAAATTCTCTAGCTAACTACATACCTCCTCGTTAACTTTGCTCGTGATAAATTCTCGTTGTTCCAAACAGATTAACAAGGTTGCCCGCGAGCACAATGTCAACATTATTTTCGCGGTTACCGCTTACTATCAGGAATTGTATCGTTTGTTGAGCAAATGTATCAGTGGTTCTTCGATCGGAACGATCGACGACGATTCCAAAAACATAGTGGCTCTCATCAGCGGTGAATACGAGGTAAGAGAGACTGTACATTTTCAAAGGTTCCTGAGAATGATATGGCTACGATCGTCGATAATCCGTGTTTTAGAAATTGACGCAGTCCGTGACGATGACGGATAACGCGCCAGAAATGATCGACGTCAAGTATTTCTCCCGGTGTGTGGAGAAAAACGGCACGTTACAGGAGCGACAAGAGTGCGGGGGACTTCGGGTGGGGAATGTCGTAGAATTTGAAGTGGCGTTAAAGGTATATGTTTATAAACCGAAGATTCCCGACACATTTTCGTGGCCGTCGAGACAAATGTGCTCTATAAAATTCCGTCTGTTGTCCTGGGTTAAATACTTTCGTTTGTCGAACGTAGGCGGTCGAATGTCCGGCAAATCCTGACGAGTGGCAACAGACCATGCAGATAAAACCAAGAGGCATAAACGAGGGCCTGACGATCGACTTCAATATCGTATGCGACTGTCCTTGTGACCGACCAGGACATCCGGTAAGAACGATAACTGAACGTGAGCTTGCACACCGTACTATGCATGCACTTACGTATGTAAAATACTTATATGCGTACACGCGTTTGGTACGCCGGCGCTGGGTCTTTCTTGACGCGTATCAAATGAAAATGCAGGGATACAAGGAAAATTCGGAAGATTGCAGAGGAAACGGTGATATGGTTTGCGGCGTGTGTTCCTGTAATGCTGGCTTTTACGGGAAACACTGTGAGTGCGAGGGACACGACGTCGGCGCCGACAGTGAAGCTGCTTTGGCGGAATGTAAGCCGAACAACGAAACCGCTGAGATCTGTAGCGGTCGCGGTGTCTGCAAGTGCAGCATGTGCGATTGCGCGAAACGTCCGAATCCGCAGGAAATCTTCTACGGGAAATACTGCGAATGCGATAATTTCTCCTGTAAACGCAGCGGAGGGTCGGTAAGTTCAACGCTCGTTTAAAATTCAACTTGTGTGTCATCGACGCGGAATCGCCCGACTGTTTCAATGAATTTCTCGATTGGAGAAACGTAACGGCCAAACGGTCACTTCTGTAACGACAGATTTTCCCGTAATGAACATGTGCGCCGAACAAAGTTGACGATTATCGCGTGTTATCGGATAGGGGCGAACGAATCTTTTGCGTCTCGTAAAGTCGCCATCGGGATGTTTATTCGCGGCGAAACTGCTTGGATAATTTTCCCTTTAAGGAAACCTGCACACGGAGTCCGGTGGAAAGACGACGGCGGATAAATTATACGCGTCCGCGTGTCGTATTCTATTATTCCATCTGTCGTCGTGTTTGCGTTTAAGGTTTGCGGCGGCAGAGGCAAGTGCGAATGCGGTACTTGCAATTGCTTGCCGGGATGGAACGGCGAGACGTGCGACTGCAAAGAGACGAACAGCACATGCATGCCGAACAGCAACGCCGAGATCGCGGAGATTTGCAGCGGACGCGGCGACTGCATCTGCGGTAACTGCCATTGCCACGAAAAGGACAATATCCGATACTCGGGACTGTATTGCGAGGAGTGCCCGGTGGGTCTTCCTTCTATCTTTCCGACACCGTACTTCCAACGTGATTAACATTACTCGACGTTTGCGTTACTAGCGAAGCAGATGATATCTGTTAAGAGAATGCTCGATAAAAGTCTAATAATACTTACACTCACAGCACTGGATAATTGTCCCTCTGTGCTTCCAGACGTGTCCAGGGCAATGGTGTGAGCAACTGAAGGATTGCGTCGAATGCGAGGCGTACAATAGTGGGCCTTACGCTGCGAACGGAACATGTGAGCTGTGTCCTCATCAAATAGATATCGTAAGATATTTCATTCTTCAATGAAAGATATTGATGGAATGTTTTACTTGGATGATTACGATGGTACACAGGTCGACGCTGTCGTAGAAGATTCTGTTAAAGATGTGGAGACAGGAGCTCGGATTTGCCGTACGCCCGGTGACGCAGGCTGTACATTTGTCTTCAAATATGAATATTATAGGGGTGGTACCGGCGGAGATATTAAAATTTTCAAAATCCTTGCCCAAAGGGAAAGAACGTGTCCAACGCCTATCAATGTTTTCGGTGAGCGGTCCAAGATATCGACAGTTTAATAAGCGATTGCACAGTAACACGTCGATTATCTGAAGTAATAAAAAGACACATACATAGATTAAATTAACTCTTCAAGAAAACATTCGGAACTCGTTCTGTGTTTCGAACTCTGTGTAGTCGAGATGATCGACCTTTGCGATAATCGACATTCGAATACTTATCGTTCCACTGTAGATCGATATTGGACTTTTTCATAGGTGTCGCAATCGGGTTAGTGGCCAGTACCGTGTTTCTTGGTTTCCTAATTCTTCTTATTTGGAAGGTATTGACGGTTATCTATGATAGACGAGAATACGCAAAATTCGAACGAGAGCGAGCTTTAGCTAAATGGGACCGGGTAAAGAGGACTTCCACTTTTTATTTGATCTATTTTGATTTGTAAAGGTGTCTTTAGTGACGTAAGGATTTTGTAAACGATTTAGGGGGATAATCCATTGTACAAGCAGGCTACGTCAACCTTCACGAATCCAATGTACAACGATAGTCCTGGGAGTTAAGTCAAATTAGAAGAGGAATAAATTCTCAGGAAAAGAATTTCGTTCTCCATATACGTACATATGTATATTTTCGAAAAACAGAATTGTATGGGACGGAGCGAGCTGTGACAGGTAGCGCCACGGTAGGCGCACGAAGCGAATTAACCAGGACGCCATATTACTTGTGATAATTACTGCCGATGAGACGAGTCCAGTCGACGAGATCGTTTTGCCTCTCCTTTGACCAATTCCTTGTCACGTAAGATCATCTTTTTTTCATTTCACTTGAAGTTTTAACAAAAAGTGTCAACAAATTCCCCCGTATCCCATCATATTCGAAAATATATGTAACTTGCACGTCAACATCTTTAGGTTACGAGTGTTGAAAGATTCTGTGAAATTGTTTTACCACACCGAAAATAAAACACGAATATTTATTGTCTCCGTGGTACTCGATTCGATTGAACTGTGCGACCTATTAAATGATGGAACGTGTAACGAATAAATCATTATATAGAATATCGATTTCGAAGATACAGGCTTGTTTTTCATGGGACTGACGATAGTAGGAAGCAGGGAGAATACGATCGGTCGCGGGTAGTGAGAGGGTGGAGGGCAAGAAGCCGAAGGTCGGCGCGCGATCACTCATAAATCAATTTTAAATTTGATCCCGGGATTTCGCGTGGAGATAGGTCCTGGCCTCTCTCGGCCGATTGTTTCGAATATCCTCTGGCCCCGTACTTTATTGCTCGCTATGCTCGAAGAAGGCAGCCTCGTAAGGAGCTCGTAAATTCGTCACCATAGTCGGCTCCTGCTGCAAAACCCTGCGGCGATTCGCTATATTTCCGACCAGAAACTTAAAGCTCTTGCCACATTGACGACGAGTCCGCCCATACGACTTGATTACTCGACGTGACGCGATTATCTTCGCGGTCTTCTGCTTTTGTGGTCATTTTACGAATAAAAATCGCGTCGTGTGAAACACTGACTTTCCCATGGATACGACATGTGTGGAGTGCAGCGCGTGTCTCAAAAGAAAGTATGTATAACCTAAAAGTGTTTTCTTACTGTGATTATATCGGTGGTGTAATCTCGTTACTTACCCTCCTTATCAATCACGATATCTTTAACTCGTTGTAAACATGTGAAACGCCACGCTCTAATAGCAGGTCGTCGATCAATTATTCGTATTGTGTATATAAAACAGTTCCGAGATCTTTGTAACGGGATAAGTAGCTTCGTGTTGTAACATGTCGCGGAAAGAATTGCGGGTAACACATTTCGAAAGATTACAAGGAACCACACGGTTGGTCCATTTGTACATGCGTATGATATTTTGTTGCTCGGTTTGGACCGGATCAACGATCTCGCGAAGCAAACGAGCTATCCTCGTAGCCGGGGCTTAAGGATAGCACAAGAAAGCAGCCAGAGAGGAATGGAGAGAATAGCTGAGCAGGCCGCTCCGTATACTAAATCACCGCCGCACGTCCGTTTCTTTACATTGCTCAGATTTTATTGATTATTTTACGGCCAGGAACATTGTAAATCTCTTCATCCAGCATCGTGCGGCCTTCTCCGTTCCACCGTCAGATGCTCCCACCGGATGTCCATAGCGCCAATTACAAGAGTCCAATGGTATTGTCGTCGTGTTCGTTTCGATCTGTCTCAGACTTTGCATACCAACACTTGTACCATAAAGTAAGCTTTTATGATTGTTGAATTTCGACATGGTTACTTTGTCGAGCTCGTCAACGTTTTCCTGATCCTTCTTTCATTTTCAGAACGGCGTAAAGTTGTTAGGTATACTCCTGAACACGAGCTACTTCATCATCTTCAAACCGCAACGATAGTAAATTAATGTCCATTTCGTATTTACTGGATTAGTTCGAAACTGTTCCATATGGAAATCGTACGAAAGCGTGCCAAGTAAATTACTTTATGCACGTCTAGATGAATCCCTGCGTTCGATAGGAAATCCCAGGCGTAACGAACTTTTCGAAACGCTTGGACGATTAGAGAGAACCGAGGTAGAGAGGGAGCATCCGAAGCAGTCGGCAGTACAAACGAAATTACATATAGAATGGCTCGGAAAAGGGTAAGACAGGATCTTTGCGCAATTTGATATACGTGTCGAACGGCGCGCAGCTCGCCTTTCGCCCGCGGAACAATGTTGTTCGTTTTCGCGGTCGCTAATGGCCGCCGCCGGTGCCTTAATTACAACCAAATACGGTCCAATCAGCCCTCGGGGGCCGGCGATGTCGGGCCGTTTCGAGCATTCGAACCGTTCGGCATATTGTCGGATCCGTAGCCTCTCGGCTGCCCTTCTTTTCTTCTCGATGCATCCATCGTGTTGTATCTGGAGCATAGGCGTGGGTACGCGGGGTTTACGAATCACGTGCAGGAGCCGATTTCCATTCGGTGGCTAAACGATCGACGGCCATGAATGTCTGTTTACGACAGACATTTATCGAACTGATTCTTCGTTCTTCGTCAGTTTTTTTCAATTCGTCTCGGTTAAACAGGTTACGAGGTTCAGTCATCGTTAAGGTTTCGAAATTTGAAAATCTAGCGACGCCGGTGATCGTGGCCGTGTTGTGCGCGGAACGTTCCGCTACGATCGAGAGCTGTTGCACCAACGTGCACCACCTCTTCGTTGCGTCCCGATGCAGACCGAGCGAGGCTCGTTAGTGCGCGCCCGTAAATCAAGCCGCAGGGGTGCCAACCCGCTAATATTACCGGGGTTCCCCCGGGATAGGAGGAGCGCGTTCGCGCCGCCGCGCCGTGCCGACGCGCACGGTAAACGTTCGATATATCTCATCGATAATGAGTTTGTTAAATGGATTAATATTCCACTTTCTCTTTTCCCTCGTTCGGCCCATCGAGACCGCTGGCGCTGGCCCCCGATCCGTCGACGTGGCATTGTTCCGTAGATTCCGCGTGGTTTCGAGATTCCACGACCAGATGCGTGTTTATATTTCGGAATATTGTATAATCATTGGAATTGTTTAGAACGTAAATGTTACGCGAAGTTTATCAAGAGGAAAGTGGATGTAAATGTCTATTGCGCGTTTGAGCGGATCCCATATCATACGTGTGCAAGAAATCGGCCGATTTTAGTGCGATCATAATGACGGGTTAGCGACTGAACGGTATACAGAACTGTAATGCGTTTAAGCATCGATTACCGGGTGAATATCGTTTCGATCCCGTGGAATCTAGCGCGCACCCCGGAGGCTGGATAACTCGTATATACAGCCAGGATAATTAATGGAGCCGGTAATGAGCTGATTATTATTAATAATATTTAGCTGGGGTTAAGCCGAGGCGACCCCGCCGCGCTGGAGCCCGGCTGCTCGTTAATTGAATCTGCCAATCATCGTAATGAGCGTCAGCGCCGGATCCGCTGTCCGTTCGTTCTTCGTTGCTGCTCTGCTCGGAGGCCCATCGAGAGAGAGCTGCTTGATGCTCGTCTTGTTCCCGTCGAAAAACGAAATATCCATCTTGCTCTCTGCAACCTTATCCTAAGAAATGTGGGCAATTTTCTTCGTCGAGACTGCCTTTTGAGAGCTTTGATCGATATCGTGATTCCCGTACAAAATCTCTTCATCCTAATCGTTTCTATTCGTTTCACATTGAATTGCACATCGCCTGCGAATCCAGTTACGCAAGCGGCTACCGCGAAACTGATCGAAATGTTTCTACGGGTGAATTGTGTCGTTTCCGTTCGTCGATCCCATCAGGGTTCGACACTTGAAAAATCTTCCACGGGCTCCTCTCGACTGTTGGAAAATGTAATCTTTGTCCCTGGAGTAATGCGTGTACTCGTTGACGACAGACGAAAAAAATGCTTTCTCCTTTTTTTTTTTTCAGAACGACACTCGAAAATGGTTCCTCCGTTTGTTCATCGCGAGCGTCGGACAGAGTAACAGAAGTAGCCCCGTGATAAGCCGGCGAGGGCACAAATGTTCGCTTCTCCCCTCCGAGATAAGGACGTTAGCCTTCTTCGTACCTGTGCGCATACCTCGAGCCATTTCTCGGGGCGAGTAGAAAATTCCGGAGCTAGGATTTCCGGCAACTCCCTTTTACCGGACCGCTGTTTAACCATTAGGTAAGTGTCCATTTGTCTCCACGGTTCTTCTGTACCGAGCGCTAAATTAACCGTACGGGGACCCCGTTTGACGAGAATTACGAGATAACGGTCCCAGCGCGATCGAGAACATAGTTTCGCATAAGCTAGCTGCCATCGACGCTCAGCCGGTGATTTTGCGGGATTGGAATTAATAGATTAGCGAAGAGCACGTCTTCCCTTAATTCCATCCCATTACGGGGTTCGATTTTTTTGCCCCAGACGGGGTCCAACCGATTACGGAAAATCGCTAAAATCACCGGTGCAGATCACGGAATTAGATTGAATCTTCTTAAACACGGGATCACCATGGTACACATAGGTGCATATTTTCGCCAATAATTTCATTGTTATCGTTTAAATTCCTGTTCATCGTAATACGTCGTATCATATTCATAGATAATACCTTCGAGTCTGTCTGCTCCGTTTCGTCGAGCGTAATTCGTGTAATCGTTCCCGATAGCAGGCTGCATTTATCGTGATTTTTCTTTTTTGTCGCGAGCTTTCGCACGGATTTCAATTACCACGGAATTAGAAGCGAAATCGTGTTTCACGAATACACCGGCGGGGCCACGACTGGCTACCGAACGACGGGAGAAATTAATCAAAATAATCATCTCTGGGCCCCGGGGCGGCCAGCGGGGCCTGTCATTTACTCCCCTGGAACTCTTCTTCTCCATCCTGCCTTTAGATACCCGCCTTTAGATATATATATATATGTATATGTATATTCCACGCTACCCGGTAGCCGACCGAAATCTTCTCTGGCCTTTAACCGAGAATCTAGAAGCCCGCTGGAACGAGCCCGTGGCTCCTTCCTCTCCCCCGAGGTTCAATTTAAATCAACGTTTCGGGGAATGCGTCTGCTCATAACAGAATTCCATTTTCGAGAGGCTTCCGACTGGATGCTCGATCGAACGCGCGAAATTCCTGGTTAGATTTTTTTTTTCTTCGAACGTGACTGATGATGATGTCGACGTGGTTAGTCGAATCACAGACGAGATATAGGAGTAGACATCTCATCCAATGTATTTTTTCGGCCCATTTTTCTGGGACGACGTCCATTTCCATTTTAGTTTCGCTAGCCAGCGCAGATTTAGCGTCCTCTTAACATAGAGGTCACTTAAATCACAGGCTTTTTAAGGTACTACAGTTTAGCTAGGCCACCGACTCCCATAAGCTGAAAAGTCTATTCTTATACCTCGTCGATGGTCGAACTATCGCGAGATTTTTGTGCGGGAAACATTAGTGTACCGTTGCCTGCTAATGGATGTCTCGCGTCATAGACTTTA